AAATTGCACAATTTAAGTCAACATAAGTTAGGTAAGGACTTAAATCTGCCTTTAAATGTAAACTAGGTCAATTAGGAGATTTGTCGGAACAAAGAAAATGTTATGGATGGCCCTATGCAAAAACCTGGGATCTTTAGCCAGCCAGCCAGCCAAACAGTATTTTGACCGTTTGCTCTCTTGACCTAATTTTTACCAAATTTTTTTTTTGTCACATGGCATACGAAATCGGTTGTTACTTGGTCTGAGAGGTATGGTAATGGTACATTTTTAATACCAATGGTTTTAATAGTAATTTCAAGGTTCCTCTTGATTTTCAGAGCTATACATTAAATAATAGCAGCACTTTATTAAGGGTCCTATGTCTCTGGTTAAAGTTCCTTTGTCTCTGGTTAAGGGTCATAACAAATATTTGGCCTGAGAGCCAATTTACAAATGTTCAGTTAAACCGATTTTAAAATGTAACGGAAACAACCGGAATAGCTGCAAATGGGAGATACCTTTACATGCGGTCTAAAAATAAATTGTGGACCTAGATTGGATGCATGTGGTCTGAGATATACCATAATACGGGGTAACATATCAAAGGAGAAACGTTAACCAAAATTGTAAATTTTTACGAGCACTTTATTAGGTACCCATGATCTTCGGCTAATATCATTTATATAAAGGTTCATAAAAAATATTTGTCCTGAGAAGCCAAAACCCTATTTGGAAATTTGCACAATATCACCATATGCAGGAACGTTATCTAGCCCCTAAAACAAAAAAATACAAATGTTCAGTCAAATAGATTGGGAAATATGGCTAAGACCCTCAGTATAGTTGCAAACGGGGCTTATATTGACTAATATCCAAAACGTGGACCTCGACTATTTTCCAAGAATGTTCTACTTACTGAGAACTCAAAATATCCCAATTTGGAGAATTTAGTTTAAAATAGGCTTTAAACTTTACAACTAACTAAAACATGGTTTACTCCTGATTTCGAGGCACTCCATGAAAGTAAACCGAAGGGTGCTATAAACATTTTTGGTTTGATAACCCAACACCCTTTAATAGTTTGGATTTTTCCTTACCCCAGACCAAGACCTGTTGTTTTCTTTAATAGAATTAATGGAAGGTCTTCCATTAATAGTAGATCTGTCGATAGTCTTCTGTTAATAGAGGACTTGTTGACGACTTGTGGAAAAGTACTTGAGGCAGCGTTTTTATACATAATTTACCTCTAGAGAGGCTTTTGCCCATACAGGAGCGCTCGATCTATAGAAGTCATAAAGAATATCTTCTATCAATGGAAGGACCCATAGGAGTTTTCACATCCAAAAAAGGCCTACATAAGGTAGTCTATTTATAGAGGAGCAGCAATGGGTTTTCTATCATAGAATATCTGCCGAAGGTCTTATATCCAAAGAAGACGTTTAAACAGTCTTCTGAATAAAAATCCGTTGACAGTCTTCCATGCATAGAAGATCTCCAGAAAGCTTTCCATCTATAAAAGACCTGTGGAAGGCCTTCTGTATATAGTGCCCTTGTCTTCTTCTATAAATCGAAAACCCGCAAAAGATTATTCGTTGGTCCTCCATAGATAGGTCTTCCATTCATTATGGACCAATACAAGGTTTCCTATCAATGAGGGAATTACAAATAGTCTTCTAAACACGAAGAACTGGCAGAACATTCCACTCAAAACCTGTATAACATTTTCTTTAAAAAATAAGCTTTACAGGTATAATATTCCAAAAAAAACTTCTGAAGTTCTGCTGTCCATAGGAGATCTTTTATTCAAGCTAGATTTACAAAAGTCTACTTCTGCAGAAGACCTGTTAGAGAACATGTTTCAAGGATCCTCTATCCCTAGAAGACCTGTAAAATTGCTGCTATTCATAAATGAACCTTAGAAGGTAATTTATCAATAGGGGACCTGCAGAAGGTCTTCTATGAATTGGAAATCTGTAAAGGTAATTACTCTAAAATTATCTGAAGAAGGACTTTAAGAAAATCTTCTTTTCATGGAAGGCAATAAGGAAGTCTGCGGTCTAAAGAAGACTTGGGAAGGTCTTGTATAAATAGATTACCTGAAAAGGGTTTTTATAGGCCTTCAGTTCACAGGAGACCAGCAGTAGGTCATCTGCCCGAAAAGAATCAACTGAAAATCTGCTGCACATGACAGATATAAGTAATGGAAATTGTGACCCTTTGTGGGTGAGGTACCAAAAGGAGCGAACCAATATTGTCAATTTTCGCACCAGACCTAGCACTGACGCAAATATTAGGATTTGCAAAGTTGGAGCAAAATCGGATTATCGTTTCTCTATCTGTGCAAAAATATATTTTATTTTTAAATTTCGACCATTTGTGTGGGAGATACCAGAAGGAGTGGACCGATATATTCCATCTTATCATCAGACCTTGGGTTAATATAAATATCAGGATGTGTGAATTTTGAAAAAAAATCGGACTCTTACATGACATTTTATGAGAGTTTTAATTATTTAAAATTTTGACCCTTTGTGGGGGGAGGTACCAGAGGGAGTGTACCGATATATCCCTTCTTCACACTAGACCTTGAGTCAGTAGAAATTATGGGACGTTTGTTATATGAAAAGAACTGGATGCTTATTTCGGATTTTATGATTATTTTGGTTATTCAAAACGTTGACCCTTTGTGGGAAAGCTACCAGAAGGAATTGTCCGATCTCTTCCATCTTTATAACATAGCTTGTGTTGACGGAAGTATTGAGATGTGCCAAGTCGGAATTGAATCGGATGTTAATTTCGTGTTTTATGAACTTCATAAACATTCAAAATTTTGACCCTTTGAGGAGGAGGTGTCAGAAGGAGTGGGCCGATATATTCCGTCTTCACACCACCACCTTGGATTAATAAAAATATTTTGATTTGTGTAATTTGAAGACAATCGGAGTCTTAATTCAAATTTTATAAGAGTTATAATAATTCAAAATAATGACACTATGTGGGCCAGAAATGATTCGAAAAGTAAAGAAGCGACTTGATCGAAACCCACTTCGCAATGGCCGAAAAATGTGTCGTGAGCTGAACATATCGCATTATACCAGTCGGTAAATATTGAAAAATGAGCTCGGGGTAAAGCCATTAAAATTCCAAAAAGTGCAAAAACTTACACCGCAACAGAAAGAAAATAGACTCAAAAGAGCTAAAGAGTTGCTTCGCTTGGCCGAAAGTAGTGAACTGCCGAATTTGGCTTTCTCCGATTAGAAAACATTCGTTGTCCATCAGTTTGTAAACAAACAAAATGATCGTGTTTACTTGCCAAAGAGGTCAGCTGAAAATGTGCACGGTTGGCCACTAGAATTCAAGCGCCGGCCATGGTGATGGAGTGGGCCGTCATAACAGTCAATGGTCGCTCTTCGCTCGTATTAATCGACAGTGGCATCAGAATAAATGCCCAAGATTATCGCAAAAATATTCTGGAGGGTGGATTAAACAAACAAATATTTTGGCCGGCGGCCTTGGACATTCCAACAGGACTCAGCACCATGGCACTCAACACGCGCCACCCAAGAATGGTTACCAAATGAGGTTCCTCGCTTCATTTTCAGTGCACAATGGCCACCAAAATCTCCAGATGCCAATCCGTTGGACTATTGTGTCTGGAGTATTTTGGAAAGCAAGGTGGGCACTAAAATATACCAAGGTGTCGATCACCTCAAGCTAGTGCTTCGCCGGGAATGGGCCAAAATACCGCAGAGAAACATTCGGGCAGCGTGTGACGGTTTCATTGGGCGTTTGAAAGCCATAATTCGTGCCAAAGGTGGCCAATTGGAATAAATCTAAACTTGTTCTAAAATTTGATGCTATTTCCGACATTTTTGGTTTTGTTCAATAGAATTAAAAAAATGTAAAAAATATAGCGTTTGACTTTGTTGCAGTTTTTTTATCTCACCCTGTTTAGTCCAATATTTATATCATATTTATTTAGCTTCGATACGAAATGGACAATATTGGCCCATTGCTGCGGAACCTACTCCATAGAGGGACAAGAATTTGAATAATCATAAACTATATTTAAATAATTGAATAATTGGCGTCTGTCGGCAAAACCGACCGATACTTTATAATTTGTTTTAATAGAAAAACAGGCAAAAAGGTAATTGTGAAATTTGAGAATTGTAGTTGCCTAGTAATACGGGAACCCAAAACTAGTAGAAATGTCAAAACTAGGTGAGTATCCCCTAAAGTCAACATGCTATACAATCAATGTCTCCCAATCTTTCAAATGTTTTTTAGTCGGCTAAAATTTTGATGTAACTGATTTTTTTAAAATATTTTCATTGCCGATCCCCCTTGTCGATAAATCATAGAGGATGTGAAAATTTCGGCACAAAAAATCTTAAATATTTTTCCAGGATTTTTGTTAAAATTATGTTAGCTTCTATAATCAAGAAATATTCAATTGGCGCCCCATATCTAAAGATACTTGCAGTTGTGAGTGTTTGTGATTTTTTTTTGTTAGCGATGCTCTTGAAAAAAATCTCTGTTAATTGTGTGAGGGGTAAATATTAGACTCAATTAGTTATGGGGTTAAATCTTCTCCAAACCCTTAAACTGATCACAGCTATCTAATTTTTGCCATGGATTTCAGGGAAATGAATTAATTTTAAAAAGTTTTATTTCTTATTTTTTTTGTTAATTATTTCAAGGACATCGCAGTTTAAGGGTCAGACAGGTTTCAGATTATTATTATTTCTAGCTATTTTACTGATATATGCTATTATCCTTTTGGCTAGAAAGCTCTGGTGTCAATATCAAGAATATGAATGGTGTAATAGTTAAGTGTGTGTAGCATATTTTTAGGGGCGACTAGAGGGAGTTGTGGTGATAGTTATATCCATAACAAAAAAAAAAATGAGATGTTTTACATAAATCAAGACATAACACAAAAATGTACAGTAATATTACAACAAAAAAAAAAAATAATAAATGTTACATAAACAAATTTCAAAGTTTTCACAACTTACGCTATTTTTTCGGATGGTGAACGCCATGGCACATCATCATCGATTTCATCATCACTTTCATCGCCTTCGTCGCCATCATCGTTACCGGATATGCTAAATGAGGAGGAGGTGAACATGTCAGGCACTGGCAAAATGGATGGGCGGCGGCTCCCTGGAAGAAGAAAACGGAAAATGGAAAAAGAGATGTTATGATTTTGAATTGAATACTTGAAAATTAGAAGAATTTATTTTAAAAAATTTAATGTTAAAATGACTTACCTCTTCTTTGATTCAAAATATCTGGGCTCAACAAATTCGGATTGCCCGCTTGGGGTACATCCAAATGATTGCCCGTACTAAGGGATGTGGTGCCTACGGTAAGACCACCGCCGCCACCACCACAGCTGCTACTACCGCCGCCGCCGCCTCCTCCACCTATACCCAATGTATTACCTAAGCTACCATGTAAAGAACTACTACCACCTCCTCCTCCGCCGCTGCCCAAAGTACCCATGCCAACCCCTCCGCTGCCGCCCAGACTCAAGGGTATGGTGGTGGTAGTGACAGTGGTTGTAGTCGTTGCTGCAGGTGTTTGCGTTGCATTTGTCGATGTTACCGCAGTATCTTTGAGATTCTGTTTGGAATCTGAGATTATCACAGATGTGGGATTATCCGATGCTGCAGACACACACACCAAAAGAAAATCAATTTTTTTGGGGGGGAAGAAAGAAATAATTGAAATATTTTGGAATTAATTCTCCTTGTCCCACAACAAATTTAAATTTCATTTTTTTTTCGAAAAACAAAGAAACAAACTCCATCAAAGTAAAGTCAAAACTAAAACATGCAAAGAAGAAGAAAAAATTGAATTTTTTGTAATTTTTTTTTTTTTTTTGGTTTTTGCAAATCTACTGTACAACAAGAAATTTTCTGAAATTGAAATAGAAATCTTTTAATTTGCTTAACAGCCAAAGCACAAAGAAAATGTTTCATTTATTTTCCAAGGAAAAATATTCGGTTTGGTGCTTAGGGTAAGTGTTGTTGTTGCTGTTGTTGTTGGTGGTGGAGTGGTGATAAATGAACATTGTGTATAGGAAGGTGCCAACCACACAAAAAAAGGGGGGGGGGGGTGAAGGGGTCTAACTTAAAGATAATTGTTGTTAATTTAACTAAGTGCTGTAGCGGGGGTTCGTTTGTTGCTAATAAGATGACATTATTTAAGTTTGTAATTTAAAATGTTTAGGGCACTAGCATTTTATGTAAAATGGGATAAGTCCACTTTTGGTATTAAATAAATTTTGATATGAGAGAATGTAATTAAATTAAATAGTCAGAGATAAACGAAATCTTCAATATTTTTAGAAGATTAAGCATTTTTTTTAGAAACTCAAATAAATTTCGGAATCTTATGTTAAACCAATCGAATGAACAAAGTCGGAATAACGTTTAAATGTATGTACAAATAAAAATAAATAATATAAGTTTATAGAATTTGGATTTTAGGACAATCTAGTAAAATACAGGGTGAGGTGAAAAAACTGCATCCAACTTCAGACTGCTGTCATTTCTCCACTATCATTTCGCCACTTGCCCGACAGCTGTTAAAATTATTCCAGTAGCAGCTCATTATATTATCTAGAAGCGTACAAAAGCATCTTGGTGAGAATTTTCCAGAAAAAAAGTTATTCGTGATGGAATTCAAGCATGGTAGAGTGATTTCTTTATATTTGGCTGGAAAGCCACAAGTGGCTATTGTTAGAGCACTCCAGCATTTAAATGTGAATAAATCTTTTGTGTTTCGTGACATCGCTCGTTACCGTGATTATGGTAGAGTAGCTCGACGTCAAAGAAGTGGACGAAAGAAAAGAGCAACATCAGCGGAAATGGTTTGAAAAGTAAAGAAGCGACTTGATAGAAACCCCCGTCGCAGTGGCTCGTGAGCTGAACATATCGCAATATTCAATTCGGCAAATATTGAAAAAAAGCCATTGAAATTCCAAAAAGTGCAAGAACTTACACCGCAACAGAAAGAAAATAGACTCAAAAGAGCTAAAGAGTTGCTTCGCTTGTGAGAAGGTGGTGAACTGCCAAATTAGGTTTTCTCCAATGAGAAAATATTCGTTATCCAGCAGTTTGTAAACAAACAAAATGAACGTGTTTACTTGCAAAGTGGTCATCTGAAAATGTGCACCTTTGGTTGGCCACCAGAACCAGAACTCAAACGCCGGCCATGGTGATGGTGTGGCCTACCATAACAGTCGATGTTCGCTCTTCGTTCGTATTAATCGACCATGGCATCAGAATAAATGCCGAATATTATCGCGAAAATATTCTGTAGGGTGTATTCAAGCCTTGGGCACACAAACATTTTGGCCGCAGGTCTTTGACATTCCCATAGGACTCAGCACGCGCCACCCAAGAATGGTTACAAAATGAGGTTCCTCGCTTTATTTCACAAAAATCCCCGAATACAAATCAGTTGGACTATTGTGTCTGGAGTATTTTGGAAAGCAAGGTTGGCGCCAAAAAAAAATATCAAAATGTCGAAGACCTCAAGCAAGCGCTTCGCCGGGAATGGGCCAAAATACCGCAGAGCAACATTCGGGCAGCGTGTGATGGTTTCATTGGCCGTTTGAAGGTCATAATTCGTGCCAGAGGTGATCAATTCGAACAAATCTAAACTTATCCTTTGCTTTTATTAAATAAAATTTAAAAATATGTAAATATTATGACGTTTGACATTGTTGCAGTTTTTTTATCCCACCCTTTATATATATATATATTTTTTTTTTCTTTTTTGTAAATTGGAACAATTTGCATTTTGGGAGAATCTGGTATAATATATTACTCTGACATCCTAGAACTAGATAATTCTATTTATAAAAGAAGTAATATTTTACTTAGGTATACAACACAGTTTTTCAGCCTCATGGCAGATAACGGTATGACCAAAGTAATAATAATGTTCAAACAAATATTCATTTTTTGCAAGGGCTTCTAGTGAACTGTCATCCTCTTTAGTTCTTCAAGTTGTGATAATTTCATATGCTTACAAAATGGAGAAGAATTCTCTTTAAGAAATTACATTAATAAAAATATTTGAAATCCAAGGTCAGCAACGAAGTCCGAACTAATCATCGAAATCTAAGATCTCGAAAAGTGATACGGAGAATATGAAATTTCGTCTCAAATAACTCAATGTTAGATCCAATACACCATGTCTACACCAGCTAATAGATTTTATATTTTTTATCTTTATTTTTTAACAATATCTATATTAAAACTACAGTAAGCTTAGGTTATCTACATTACTTTGCAATTCTAGATAAAAAACAAACTTTGCAGAACAACAACAAATCCTGGAGAATTTTGTTTTTTTTTTCTCATCGATAGCATATTAAGGTCAAATGGAAACACAGTGACATGCTTAACAATGCAACGGAAATATGAAAAACAAAAACACATTAAGATATGGACGAAAAAAATGGAATAATGATAAAACCATAAACATTGAATAAACAAAAAAAAAAAAAAAAGGAGCTGAGTTCCGCCGGCCGAATTTGTTAAAAAAAAAACATTTTTTTTAATTAAAGTGTCGTTTCTCAAGAACCAAATATATAACAATTGCAAATTGGATCACGAAAACATAAATCGTAAAAATAGCGAATATCTGGAGGTACTGCTATAGAAAAGTGTATACATATATTTACAGTGCTCCGCTATCAGATGCAGAACCCGTAACCAATTCCTTACACCAATTTTGAAATTTGAAATTCATGAAAAAATGTGGCTATAATCATCAAAATACCCATTATTGGGAGGTCGCTTTATATGGAGGCTATACCAATTAGTGGACCTGAATAGAACAGTTTTTTCCAAGGATTTTTTTTTGCCAGAGACTGTATATAGAATACCTTCAACTTATGTTTGTTGATAGGAGACTTTTAATAGGTATTTAGTAAACATAAGAGGCCTTCAAAGAATAAATAGGCTTTATGGACAGAAGATTTTTACCGGATTTTCGATGGATAAAAACACATCAGTGGTGCGATTCTCTAATACATTTTTTGAGTTACCGACAAAAATCGGTAAAATTAAACAGCTTATAATTTCGGTAATTGACGAAATTTGTCGATAAGTTAGCGACGAAAAAAAGTAGTCGCTAAGATCTACCGATAGATACCAATGTTGTCAACTTTAACTTCTTTTTATGGTTTCAAAGTTACCGATTTTTGTCGGTAACCTAAAAAATGAGTTAGAGAATCCCACTACAGTTCTTCTATTGACGGATGTCTTTTAAAATATGGATAGAACACATTTTCCAGTTCTTATATTTATAGATGATTTTCGACTGGGTTAAAGATCTTCCAGGAGTCTTGTGGACCTTTGAAAAGTTTTTCATTCAAAGATGAGCTTTTACACGTAAGGGGATAAAAACCATTGACATTACTTCTTCGTCGATAGAAGCTCTTTGACATGTATCTTGTTCCTACGTTTTCTACTCATAGTGGACTGTTGACATGACTTCTGTAGATAGAAAACCTTTGACTGATCTCCCTTGACAGCTCAACTATTTATAGAAGGGCTTTGCCACTATTTGTGTTCATTAAGGACCTCTAACTGGTTTTGTGGATATGGAAGATACTTGAGTAGTTTTTTGCTGGGAAAGAAGATCTTTAAAGATTTTTTTACATATTTTGACTTTTACAGATTTCCCGATCCTTTGATACTTTTGATAGACTTTTTTTGATTGAGTGGCTTTCACAGGACATCCGTCTTTCATTTATAAATAGAAGATCTACAGCAAGTGTCTTACGTAAAGGACATACAAAGTCCTTTATGGTCTCTACGTTGATAGGGGTTCCCTGGATCAAAGTTTTGAAGAATTAATGGCAGAAACATGCTAGTAGCATGCGACTAAAATATGTGAAATAATTACGATTTTCCAGCAATTTAATGTGGATGACCTAAAACAGTCCACATTGAAGGGAGATTTTATAAATAACAACTAAAAAAGCTGTAAGTTCGGCCGGGCCGAACTTTGAATACCCTCTACCATTTGGAAGGAATTTGGCAATTCTCAAAAACAATAAAATATGTTAAAATCTTAAAAATACCGAATGTAGCTGTTAAAAAAATCGGTTATAATGACGATAAAATCAAAATACCAAATATCGGGAGGTACCGTTATATGGGGGCTATACGAGGCGTTGACCTGCATAGATAATTTTCTGCCTTAGGCTGCAGTAGCCATTACGAACTTCAAATACCAAATTTGAAACAATTCCGGTGAAGAATGTCGCTAAAAGCATTAAAATACAGAATATCGGGAGGTACCGTTATATGGGGTATAAACGAAGACGTGAACCCGCACAGACCATCTCCTGTCATAGTATCCATTGCGAACTTACAATATCAAATTTGTAACAATTCTGGTGAAAAATGTCCCCAAAAGCATTAAAATACCGAATATCGGGAGGTACCTTTATATGGGGGCTATACAAAGTCGTGGACCTGCACAGACAATTCTCTGTCTTAGGCTGTAGTATCTATTACAAACTTTAAATACCAATTTTAAAACCAGTGAAGAAAGCCTTAAAGTCGGCCGGGCCGACTTTATGATACCCTACACCACTTTGCTAATTTAGTAGAGCTGCGCATAACAATTAAAAGTTTTTATGGGAGAATTCAATCACACACGCTATGATTATAATTATAATTTAAAGCTCAAAGAACAAAATATGCCGAAGCATTTGTACCTTTTAAATTCGGACTTGTATTGCCCATTTGGTGCAAATTTAATTTGAAATCGGATAAAAATATATATGGGAGCTATATCCAAATCGGAATCGATCTCGATAAAATTTGGCAAAGATATTTCTGAGCTGTATTTGATATATTTCCCCAAATATTGTTGTTACAGAGTGCATATTACGGCTGCGGAGGACAAAAAAAGAAAATCGGATGAACAATATATATGAGAGCTATAGCTATATCTGAACCGATTTCGATAAAATTTGGCATACTTATTTTCAGGTCCAATCAGATCGTACGTGCAAAATTCCATACAATTCGGACTGATATTACACGTTTGGTGCACAATAAAAGGCAAATCGGACGAATATATATATGGGAGCTATATCTAAATTTTGACCGATTATCTCCAATTTCAATAGGGTTCGTCCTTGGGCCAAACAAATGATTTGTGCAAAATTTCATCTGGATCGGGCAATAAATGCGAACTGTACTTTGTTTACAAAAATACATGGACAGACGGACGGACGGACAGACGGACGGACGGACGGACGGACAAACGGACGGACAGACAGACGGACGGACGGACATGCATAAATGGACTCAGAATGTGATTCTATGCAGATCATCAAAAGGAACTATGGGTCTATCTCGTTTCCTTTTGCCTGTTACAAACAAATGCACAAAGACATAATACCCTGACCACCTTGTGGTGTAGGGTATAAAAATTCCGGTGAATAAATTCGTTATATGGGGGCTATACGAAGACGTGGACCTGAATAGACAATTTTCTGTCACAGACTGTAGTTCTCATTACGAACTCTAAATTACGCATTTAGAAACTACTCCGGTGAATAATGATGCTAAAATCATCAAAATACCGAATATTGGGAGGTACCGTTATATTAGGGCTATATGAAGACGTGGACCTGCACAGACAATTTCCTATCATAGGCTGTAGCGTCCATTTCGAAGTTCAAATACCAAATTTGAAACTACTCCGGTGAATAATGATGCTAAAATCACCAAAATACCGAATATCGGGAGGTACCGTTAGATGAGGGCTTTACCAAAACATGGACCTACATGGCCCATTTTCAATACCAAAAGGCCTGCAGACATAACATACATTTGAGTAAAATTTGATCAATCTACTTAAATTCGTTCAGAAGCTAGAGTGATTTCCACAGACGGACGGACATCAATAAATCGACATAGAATTTTATGCTGATCAAGAATATATACACTTTGTGGGGTCTAACATGTGTATTTCGAGGTGTAACAAACGGAATGACAAACATAATATACTCTCCATACTATGGTGGAGGGTATAAAAAAGATTTATGAGGTCTTCCATAAAAAATGAACTTTTAGATGTATTGTTTTTAACTTCTTCTGAAAGTGTAAGACCTAGGTCTCTGACAAATGGGTCTCCTAAAAATAAAACATCGCTTGGCTGGATCATAAGACCTTTTAAAACTAAATTCTCTATTACCAAATAATGGATTTCCTAATCAATTGTTGACAGTCGTAGCTGCAGGACACCTGACAAAAAAAAAAAAGTAAAATAAATAAATAAATTGTAAAAAGTATTTGTTAAATTTTTAGAATCCACTTTTTTATTTTGACCGCTACTGGCATTGAAATCTCATTCATGGATTAAGATTTTACATGCAGATCTCCAATTCGCTCGATTTTACTCGCGGCCAGGAGTACTCAAAAAGTACGAGTTATACGAAGAGTTTACTCTCCACTCTTTTGTTATATGGGAGGTGAGTCAAAATTTTCGGATGAGAGTAAGAATTTCCTCTCAGAGTGAAATCGAATATTTCGTTTGCTGTTTTGTGTATGTAGTAGCAGTAAGATCTAAACTGATATATTCGATTCTCGTAAGAAAAAAAAAACATCAAAACAAATGTTAAAAGGGAACATGCAAACTATGGATAACTAAAAAAAAAACATGTACTGAATATAAATATTCTAAGCAGAATTCGGTTATATCGAACTCTTTATATGGATGGGTTTAATTCCCAATTCTTCATGTAATTTTATACAAATAGTTCGTTATAACCCCATTCGATGGGACCACAAAAATCACTTTTGCAGTGTTTCGAAATGAATTGATGAAAATGCAATGACATGACAGGATGTTGAATGCCTTTCAACTTTCCAATGGCAATAAAAAAAAAAAAAATAAATAAAACCTAAAGGAATTGGGGAGGGGGCTTCAAACTACTTGGTAAATCCTAAGGGATGTGGTTTTGGGAGTTAGCAAAAACTACTGTAGAAAATAAATCCAGAAACCAGGCAAGAATCGTTACAACTCTACAAATCGTGGCACGATCATCAAAAAACAAGCCTTTTTTGATCAGTTTTGCATTTTTTTTTAAACGGGGAAAACGGGGAAGTTTTTTTGTTTGGTTTTTCTTTTCTACCGGGGATTTCAGAGCGAGGGGAGCGGGGAAAATATACAAATTTCGGTGTCACACTCACGCACAAATAGTGTTGTAAAATCACATTCGGAGCTATGCCGTTCTATAATGGGCATATTCATGGTGATGGTGGTGGTGGTGTTGTTCATTGTGGTCGTGGTCATGGTGGAGATGTTGGTTGTGGTCGCAGCGGCATTGACGGCATTGACAGTGGAGCCGGGTGGACCACCTCCCACCAATACCGCGTCGTAACTAATGCTATGGGGCACACGTACACAGACGGATGGTATGGGGACCGTGTGCGATGATAATAATGATGTTGATGTTGTTGTTGTTGTTGCTGTATTAATGGATGTTGTTGTTGTAGTACTTGTTATTATTGTTGGATATACATATTGACAAAGATTGCTTGTTATTGTTGTTGTAGTTGTTAATAGATTTGTTGCTGTTGTTGTTATTGTACTAATATTACTATATAAACTATCATTATCATTGTTGTAGCTGTTGTAAGGGTTGTTATTATTGTTGTTGCTATTACTACTGTTGTTGTTGTTGTTATATGTGGTTGCTATTGCCGCTATTGTTGTTATGATTGTATTGTTGGTTGTGTTAGTGTTTGGATTGTTGTGGGTGTTCTCTGTTAGTATATGTGGTTGTTGTTTTTGTTAGTTGGTTAGTTTGTTTATTCATTGGCGAATCAACAAAAAATCACAACGGTTTACAAAACGTGATAACAAAAATGTTGGCAAATAAAAAATAAATAAATAAATAAAATTATGAAATCAATTACAATGCTGGTTTGGTTAGCGGTATTTGTTTGTAAAAAAACATTTTTGTGTTTGTGTGTGTGTGGACAGAATTATTTTAATAATCGTTTATCGGATGCTGTAAATAATATTAATATTTCGCCGACTTGTTTCGCAAATTATGACAGATATAAGTATTGAAAATTGTGATCCTTTGTGGGGGAGGTACCAGAAGGAGTAAGCCGGAATATACCAGATCTTGTGTTAATAAATATATTGTGATTTGTGTAATTTGAAAAGAACCGGAGGCTTATTTCGGATTTTATGATCGTTTTGGTTTTTCAAATTTTTACCCTTTGTGGGGGAGGTACAAGAAGGAGTTGCCAGATCTCTACCATCTTTATAGCAGATCTTGCATTGATGGAGATATTGAGATGTGCCAAGTTTGAATGAAATCGGATTTTAATTTCGCGTTTTTAAAGCTTCATGAATATTCAAAATTTTGACCCTTTGTGGGGAAGGTACCTGAAGGAGTTAACTGATACACAAAATCTTCGCACCAGATCTTGTGTTAATAGTAATAGTGAGATGTTTAAAATTTGAAGAGAACCGGATGCTTATTTCGGATTTTATGATGGTCCGATCTCTGCCATCTTTATAACAGATTTTGTATTGATGAAGATATTAAGATGTGCCAAGTCTGAATGGAATCGGATGTTAATTTCTCGTTCTATGAGCTTCATGAACATTCAAAATTTTGACCCCTTTGTGGGGGAGGTACCAGAATGAGTACACCGATATATCCTATCTTCACACCAGATCTTGTGTTAGTATAAATATTGAGTTGTATGAAATGTTAAGAGGATCGGATGATTTTTTCTTCTTTTTCTAAGAGTTATAACTACTCAAAATTTTGAACCCTTTGTGGAGAATGTACTAGAAGGAGCGGTCCGTTATACCCCATCTTCTCACCAGATTTTGTGGTGATAAACATATTGAAATACGTTTTAATTATTCGAAAAGTTGACCCTTTGTGGGGGAAGTACCAGAAGGAGTGGTCCGATAGACTTCGTCTTCATACTAGATCTTGCGTTGGTAAAAGAAATGAGATGTGCGAAGTTTGAAGAGAATCGGATGCTTATTTCGTTATTTTATAAGTGTTATAATTATTCCAAATGATGACCCTTTGTGGGGGAGGTACTTAGTAGAGTACGTCCATTTTTGTCCATTTTTGTCCATTTTTGCACCGGACCATTGACACAAATACTGAGATTTGTAAAATTTAAACAAATTTTCTTGTTCTATTCGAAAAATTTTTTTCTTTGACAATTTTAACCTTTTGTTGGGGGTGGTACCAGAAGGGGTGCTCTGACACATTCCATATTCACACCTGATTATGTAATGATAAAACTATTCCGATGTGCCAACTGTGAAAATAACAGGATTCTGATTTCGCATTTTATGAGCCTTATGGTTATTCTAAATTTTGACCCGTTGTGTGGGAGGTACAAGAAGAGATGGTTCCATCTCTACCCTATTGAGATGCGCCAATCTGAATGGCATTGGATGTTAATTTCGCCTTATATGAACTTCATGGGTATTCGAAATTTTGACCGTTTGTGGGGTAGGTACTAGAAGGAGTGGACCGTTATATTCCCTCTTCACACCAGACCTTGGGTTCCGAAAAATATTGTGGTGAGTGTAAATTAAAGACGATCGATCAAAATGTTGACCCTATGTGGGAAGGTACTTGATGGAGTGGTCCGATATTATCCATTTGAGCACCTGATTTCGATGAGACATGGGGTATATGGAGCGTAAAAAGGTATTCTTTCTTTAGAAATGAATTCTTTAAAATGAATTTCTCAATCAAACAATATTTGCCGAAATTGTACCGAATTTAGATAAAATCTCTGTACAAATTTCCGCTTCTGTAGTGGAATTCCTTAACTCATTTCTTAAGTTACGGACAAATATCGGTAGCTTTGAGACCCAAATCTTTTATATGAAAAAGTAGTTAAAGTTGAAAACATTGGTATCTATCGGTAGGTCTTACCGCCTCTCTTCTTTTCCTCGCTAACTTACCAAAAAATTTCGGAAATTATAAGCATTTTAGTTTTACAGACTTTTGTCGGTATATTTTCCCCACCTTAAATAACCCACCTCCTAACTGCGACAAACTCTTAGAGATTTTTATTATCCCATCGTTCAATGACAATACGCTGCTCGTTCACTTTACGACTCCATTGTTAGTTGGGTAAATAACAATTCCTTTCGTTTTTTTGCAATTTTTACGAGACTCTATAATAACTTGAACTGAGATTCTTGAGGGAATTTTGATAGTTGCATTTTAATGTTCAGTTCGGTTGGATTTGGTTTGGTTTGGTCTGGTCACAAAATGTGATTGATGTAGGAGTTGAGAGAGAGAGAGAGAGAGAGAAAGAGGGAGAGAAGGAGAGACTGGTCACACAGACTCTAATGATTGAACCATAAAACTGAATTTATTCTTGGTGTGTTCTCATTGGATGAAGATTTTACGACTTCAAGGATTTTCAGGGTATGCAAATAATTTTAACGAATTACAATCCCAGGGAATGACAGGAACAGTGAATGGCAGAAAGAGAAGACGGGAATTGCTGGTGAGAGGAAATCTGATTATGTCTTTAATTTCCATCTTTTAATCATCAGCCATAAAGAAGGAAAGGACAAGGAAAAAAATGCAACATTAAAATGGCAAGGATTGCCAACGTAAGAATGCAGCTGGTTGCATTTACTCAGTTGATATTCAAGGGTTTTTGAGATGATTACTCAATATGGTTGGCCGTTGCTTTAAACATAATTTAAATTAAGACTTTCGCTTAGATATTTATAAAGTTATTAATTGTCTGCTTTTGTAAATTATTAATCCTGGGGCGAATGTTAAAAAATACAGGGCTTCATATTTCACTATTTGACACAGAGTAAGTGTTGGTATGTCGAAATAATATAAAATTAAAAAAAACAAGTAAAAATGATGGTAACTTCGGCGGGGCCGAACTTTTAATACCCTCCACCATGTCGAAGGAAATTGAAAAATTTCAAAAAAAAAAAATCCGAAAACTACCACTCAAATGGAAAGCCTTTTATGGTGACTATACGAAATTTTTTTGTCATAAGCTGTAGTGCACATTACGAATTTCAAATACGAAATTTGTTACAATTACGGTGAATAATGTCGCAAAAATCATGAAAATACGAAATATCGGAAGGTACCGAAGACCTCGACCTGCACAGACAATTTTCTGTCTTAGGTTTTAGTACCCATTAGTATCTTTCAGTAGGAAATTTTAAACAATTCCGGTAAATAATGTTGTTGAAATCATCAACATACCGAATATCGGGAGGTATCGTTATATGGGGGTTATACGAAGACTTGAACCTGCACAGACAATTTTCTGCCTTAGACTGCAGTAGCCATTATGAACTTCAAATACCAAATTTGAAACAATTCCGATGAAAAATGTCGCTAAAATCGTCAAAATACCGACTGTCAGGAGGTATCGTTATATGGGGGCTATACGAAGACGTGGACCTGCACAGACAATTTTCTGCCTTAGACCATTATGAACTTCAAATACTAAATTTGAAACAATTCCGATGAATAATGTCGCTAAAATCGTCAAAATACCGAATATCGGGAGATAACGTTATATGGGGGCTATACAAAGACGGGGAGCTGCACAGACTATTTTCTGTCATAGGTTCTGGTATTCATTACGAACTTCAAATGCGAAATTTGAAACAATTCCGGTAAATAATGTCGCTAAAATCGTCAAAATACCGAATATCGGGAGGTACCGTTATATGAGGGCTATACAAAGACGTGGACTTGCACAGACAATTTTCTGCCTTAGACTGCAGTAGCCATTATGAACTTCAAATACCAAATTTGAAACAATTCCGATGAAAAATGTCGCTAAAATCGTCAAAATACCGACTATCAGGAGGTATCGTTATATGGGGGCTATACGAAGACGTGGACCTGCACAGACAATTTTCTGCCTTAGACCATTATGAACTTCAAATACTAAATTTGAAACAATTCCGATGAATAATGTCGCTAAAATCGTCAAAATACCGAATATCGGGAGATAACGTTATATGGGGGCTATACAAAGACGGGGAGCTGCACAGACTATTTTCTGTCATAGGTTCTGGTATTCATTACGAACTTCAAATGCGAAATTTGAAACAATTCCGGTAAATAATGTCGCTAAAATCGTCAAAATACCGAATATCGGGAGGTACCGTTATATGAGGGCTATACAAAGACGTGGACTTGCACAGACAATTTTCTGCCTTAGACTGCAGTAGCCATTATGAACTTCAAATACCAAATTTGAAACAATTCCGATGAAAAATGTCGCTAAAATCGTCAAAATACCGACTATCAGGAGGTATCGTTATATGGGGGCTATACGAAGACGTGGACCTGCACAGACAATTTTCTGCCTTAGACCATTATGAACTTCAAATACTAAATTTGAAACAATTCCGATGAATAATGTCGCTAAAATCGTCAAAATACCGAATATCGGGAGATAACGTTATATGGGGGCTATACAAAGACGGGGAGCTGCACAGACTATTTTCTGTCATAGGTTCTGGTATTCATTACGAACTTCAAATGCGAAATTTGAAACAATTCCGGTAAATAATGTCGCTAAAATCGTCAAAATACCGAATATCGGGAGGTACCGTTATATGAGGGCTATACAAAGACGTGGACTTGCACAGACAATTTTCTGCCTTAGACTGCTGTAGCCATTATGAACTTCAAATACCAAATTTGAAACAATTCCGACGAATAATGTCGCTAAAATCGTCAAAATACCGAATATCGTGAGGTGCCGTTTTATGGGGGCTATAGGAAGACGTGGACGTACATGGCCCCTTTCTATTTTATCCTGTAGCATCTGTTACGAACTTCACATACCAAATTTGAAACAATTCCGGTAAATAATGTCGCTAAAATCATCAAAATACCGAATATCGGGAGGTACCGTTTTATGGGGGCTATAGGAAGACGTGAACCTGCATATCAAAATTTTTGTCATAGGCTGTAGTACTCATAACCTCAAATACCAAAATTGAAACAATTCCGATGAATAATGTGGCTAAAATCATTAAAATACCGAATATCGGTAGGTACCGTTATATGGTGGCTATACGAAGACGTGGACGTACATGACCCTTTTTCTATTTTATCCTGTAGTATCTGTTACGATCTTCGAATACAAAATTTGAAACGATTCCGGTAAATAATGTCGCTAAAATCATCAAAATACCGAATATCGGGAGGTACCGTTATATGGGGGCTATACGAAGACGTGGACCTACATGGGCCATTCTCTGTTTTATGCTGTAGCATCTGCTACGAACTTTAAATACCAAATTTGAAACAATTCCGGTGAATAATGTCGCTAAAATCATCAAAATATCGAATATCGGGAGGTACCGTTATATGGGGGCTAAACGAATACGTGAACCTACATGACCCATTTTCTGTTTTATACATTGTAGTGTCCATTTCGAACTTCAAATACCAAATTTGAAACAATTCCGGTGAATAATGTCGCTTAAATCATTAAAATACCTAACATCGGGAGGTTCCGTTATATGGTATATGCTATACGTAGACGTGGACCTACATGGCCCATTTTCAATACCCAAAGTCATGCAGATCTAATACACATTTGAGTAAAATTTTATTAACCTACTTCATTTCGTTCGGAAGCTAGAGTGATTTCCACAGACGGACAGACGGACGGACATTGCTAAATCGACATAAAATGGGGTCTAAAATGTATATTTCGAGGTGTTACAAACGGAATGACAAACTTAATATACCCTCCATACAATGGTGGAGGGTATAAAAAAATTGTAAAAAATATATCAAAAAACAGGTTTTTATATATCTCTTTTTGGTATGTCAAAATAAAATACATTTTTTCAATTTAAAAACAATTACTCATAACATCAGACTCACACACACAAACACTCTTAAGGAGGCACGCTCTCACACTCATTCACACGCACATACAACACATACATATAAACAGCACGAAAGCATAGTTTGTTTTAGTAACAATTATTTAGTAGCAGTTATTGTAGTAGAGTAAGTAGCAGAGTAATCAAAGGATAACAAATATTATTAGGTCGCTGTCTTTTTTTTTTATTTCCTTTCGAATTTTCTTTTCAAATAATCCAAATCGTAACTTAGTTCAGAAGGGAACAGAAACCTAACAAAAAAAAAAAAAACACATAAAACAAAACAATAAAATCGAGAACCCAACTCAAACCGTAACCAAAACAAAACAAAAAAGTCATTGCAAATGAACAATGGCCCGTTTTTAATTGTTCCGCCAACTTACCATTCTCCTTGCCCGTCACATTGTCTGCATTTTGGTTCTGTTGATTTTGATTGACCACAAATGCAGAGTTCTCTTCCTTGGTGATGCTCATGTAATAGCAGGTGTCATCCTTTTTCATGATATGCCTGGGACCGGGATTTAACAGTATCGTATCCTCATAGAATTCTGGCAAATGGGCTGGACGCACACCAACCAAGGCCACGCCGTATCTGAAAGAGAGAGAGGAAAGTTTGATAGTTGATTTGTAGGAAAGAGAGCCAAGGACTTACTTTCGATGTGAATGGAAACTGGCATAGGTAAAACTTTTACCCTCATACTCGCCAAAGAAGCGACTATCACCCAAAACGATGTGATAGATTTCATTACCCGAACATTTGCCATATAAACGATGCCATTCTTCGGGCGATTGTTGGCCTTCCCTGGATGGGATGAGAGGTAGATTTGTTAATACAAGGATTTTTAATTGATTCAAATAGAAGTTTTGGATATCGCTGACAATGTAGATATCAATCTCTTAAGATATCGATATAAATATCGATAGATATCGATATAAATATCGGTAGATATCGATTTCATATCGATATGGATATAAATATGGATATAAATATCGATAGATATCGATATAAATATCGACAGATATCGATATAAATATCGATAAATATCGATATAAATATCGATAGATATCGATACAAATATCGATAGATATCGACATAAATATCGATAGATATCGATATAAATATCGATAGATATCGATATAAATATCGATAGATATCGATATAAATATCGATAGATATCGATATAAATATCGATAGATATAAATATCGATAGATATCGATATAAATATCGATAGATATCGATATAAATATTGATTGATATCGATATAAATATCGATAGATATCGACATAAATATCGATAGATATCGATATAAATATCGATAGATATCGATATAAATATCGATATATAATCGGTATTGATGTCGGTATTGAAATCGGTATTGATATTGGTGTTCGTAACAACATTGATATTCATATCGAAATTCTTATCAATAATGAAATAGATTTTGAAATCGATATTGATATCTGTGTTCATATCGATATTGACATCGATATAGACATTGATATTTATATCGATATAGACATTGATATTAATATCGATATTGATATTGATAGCGATATTGACATCGATATTGATGTCGATATTGAAATGGATATTGATATCGGTACTCACATCGATTTGATATCGGTATTTATGTCGATAATGACATCGATGTTGATATCGATATTTATAAATATATTGATATTCATATCAATTTTGACATTGACATCGGTATTAATATCGATAGTGAAATAGATATTGATATCGGCACTCATAATTAATTTCTATTCATATCGATATTCATACCGATATTGATATCGATATTAATATTGATATTCACATTCATATTGATATCAATTTTGAAATCGATAATAATATCGATATTGAAATCGATACTGATATCGATACTGATATCGATACTGATATCGATTTTGATATCGGTGTGGATGTCGACGATATTTGAATCTGTATTTATATCGATATTGACATTGATAACGATATTGATATCGATAGTTTTATTGGTATTGATATTGATTGTCAGTATTTATGTACGTATTATTTTTATATTATAACTAGGATTAGTATAGAGGTTGTTATCGATTTATATAGATATTAATAACGACATAGAAATCATTAAATCCTGAAATTTTTTTGTGGTATAAAATTATAAGGGCAATTTATTTATTTTTTTATATTGGCCATTTCCGTCTCTGGCTATTGATAATTTTCAACAAAAAATTATATTTTACACTGAGAACTTTTAATTTTTTGTCGAAACCCGATAACTTTGACACTGTGAGATTTATAAAAAATTCTATTTGGACACGGAAATTTAATTTTGTATTCAGGGAATTCAATTCTAGGCAATTCGTTACTCTTTAATCAGTTCGGGCGCTGTTTGAATGAAATAATCGGTCCTCAGGGCCTCAAAACTTATTCTCAAGCCAATTTTATATTTTGTAATAAAAATAACCATTTATATTTACATACCTGCAAATATTCCTAACAAGTGAGCATATTTAACTATTGATACCGATATAGATATCGAATTTACCATCCCATTTTATGTTTGCCATATTGGCCAAACTCAATTAGCCCTAAGCTCTTAGCAGTTTTATTGGCTAAGCCTGCCAAGCTATCAAATGGTCGAATTACCATCCTTCAATGCTATTGAATTTTTATTCGAAAATTTAATTAACCAAAGAAAGATAAACATAATATTTACATGGCCAAAGGTCATCCATCAATTTGGAATTTGGCATGAATTATGTAAATATTTACAAATTCCATGCAAACGGAACCCCCCCCCCCATTCTAACAACAAACTAGGCAATAAAAACCAAGCATTTAATATTAAGGATTATCAGGAAATACTCCGTCCATGGCAAGTAATTAGTTAAATAAAGTAAACAAAAATTATGTTACCTGCTAAGGGGACAATTAATTAATTAGAAATATTGTAGATTGATGGAGTAGAAAATAGAGAAGGAATGGGCCAACAGGTGTGCCTCTAACCCTGTAGAAAACCACTCAACAACTTCTGCATAAAAAATAAACTTTAAAATTCCACTGATTATTCATGTCCCAGTAGTGCAATTTCCCTGCTCTATTTGTGTTTTGGGGTCAGCATAAAACATTAGCTAATTTCCATAATGCCACTGTGTCCTCGACAATGCTTTTTTTGTAGTTGTTTCTTGTTTTTGTAAATTCCACCAGAAGCCGCTATCTGTCGCTTTCGGCAAATAACTGAATTTATGTGGCTTCATCGCTGTTGCCAATAACGTGGTCCGCGAGATTGTGGCTTTGAGGTTAGTTTTGGCATTAATGTACACTTAAAATGCATGAACAGTGGGTTCCACAGGACAAAAAATTATTTCGATTATAAAGTTTTTGAAAAGTGTAATTAAGGAATCGGGTATAACGATTAAGCAAAGGTTATTTATTTTTAATCTTCAAACATTATTGTTTATTAGGGAATATAAATTATCCACCAGAGTGGATAAATTATCCACAGACACGTATAAATTATCCACAAACGTTGATAAATTATCCACAATAGTGGATAAATTATCCACAAAAGTGGACAAATTATTCACAAACATGGATAAATTATTCACAAAGGTGGATAAATTACCCACAGTCGTACATAAAATCCACAAAATCCGTAATTTATCCACGTGGATTTTATCTACGACTATGGCTAATTTATCGACGTTAGTGAATAATATATCCATGTCTGGATAGAATTCACGTGGGTAAATTATCCACAAATGTGGATAAAATCAACGTGGATATATTATCCACAAATCGGATAAAATCAACGTTGTTAGTTTCTCCACAAACGTAGATAAATTATCCAAAAACGTGGATAAAATTATCCACAAACGTGGATAGAGTTATCCACAAACGTGGATAGAATTATCCACAAACTTGGAAAGAATTATCCACAAACGTGGATAGAATTATCCACAAACGTGGATAGAATTATCCACAAACGTGGATAGAATTATCCACAAACGTGAATAGAAATATCCACAAACGTGGATAAATTATCCACGAACATGGGTGTGGATTTAATCCACGTTTGTGGATAATTTATCCACGTTTGTAGATAATGTATCCATGTCTGTGGATAATTTATTTAACTTATCCACGTGGATTTTATCCACGTTTATGGACAATTTATCCACAAACGTGGGTAGAACCCACGTGGATAAATTATCCACAGACAGGATTAATATATCCTCAAACATGGATAAATTATTCACAAAGGTGGATAGATTATCCACAAAAGTGGAATTTTTTTTATCTTCCTCGTTTGTGGATAATTTATCTATGTCTGGATAGAATTCACGTGGATAAATTATACACAAATGTATATAAAATAACGTGGATAAATTATTCACAAGCGCGGATAGAAGCCACGAACGTTGATAAATTATCCACAAACGTGGATAAATTATCCACAAACAGGGGTAGAATCCACGTGGATAAATAAATTATCCAAAAACGTGGATAAATGATCTACAAAAGTGGATAAAATCTACGCGGATAAATTATTCACAAACGCGGATAAATTATCCACACTCGTGGATAAATTATCCACACTCGTGGATAAATTACCCACACTCGTGGATAAATTACCCACACTCGTGGTTAAATTATCTACAAACGTGGATAAAATCTACGCGAATAAATTATACACTCGTGGATAAATTATCCACACTCGTGGATAAATTATCCACACTCGTGGATAAATTACCCACACTCGTGGTTAAATTATCTACAAACGTGGATAAAATCTACGTGGATAAATTATCCACACTCGTGGATAAATTATCCACACTCGTGGATAAATTCTCCACAAACGTGGGTAGAATCCACGTGGATAAATTATCCACTAGCGTGGACAGAATCCACAAACGTGGATAAATAAATCCACAAATGTGGATGAATAATCTACAGACGTGGATAAAGTCCACGTGGATAAATAATCCACAAACGTAGATAGAATCCACGTTAATAAATTATCCACAAATGTGGATAAAATCCACGTGGATAAATGATCTGAAAACATGGGTAAATTATCCATAAACTCGGATAAAATGCATGTGGATAAATTATCCACAAACGTGGATAAAATCCACGTGGGTAAATTATCCGCAAACTTGGTTAAATTCCCACACAAAAACAAAAAAAGAAAAATACATGGATAATTTCATCCGCTACTTTTTTCAAATCAAATATACTTGTGATCAAATTATCCATGCACCCCATAATTTATTCACAATAAATGAATAAAAATTTCTCTCAACTCCTTTACAGCTGACTCCTGACACTGTCTTCTGGAGTTTGATTACTGGATTATCCATTGCCTCTGCTACAGCTACTGCAGCTAGACCTCTTGTTAGTATTCATATGTATGCATGTAAGTATGTATGTGTCTGTTATTCTGTTACAATGTACTGTTTATTAGTTTCTCTTTTTTCTCTCTCTCTCTCTCTCTCGTTTTCTCTTTCTTTCGAATTTATACTTACTGCCCCCGTGATGTATGCAACAATAGTGTCACCAGGGTACTAGCGCCAGGACATGTACAGTTATTAGCCAACAAAGCATATTTAAATTCGTCCTCACACACGACATGTTCAGCGAATTTAACATGAAGCTTATGTTCGGGTCTGTATGGAAGGAAGACAACAACAACAACAACAGAAATGATAACAATGATATCAACAATGGCTGGTACAACACACACATACACACACTAACATACACATATTAGGTATTGTTTTTGTTGGCCACATTCTTAGCTAATGGAGTTGTTGGAGTTCCATTGGGCGGATGCTGGGAGGGTTCGACTAACCGAATGCCTGACAACTTACCTGAATATCTGCACATATTGCGGAACATTGGGGGCGAAATCTTTAACAGCCCACGAACGTAGAATTGTGTGTTCATCGGCAGCAGTCTTATCGGCATAGTTGCGTGCGGCGAGAATAAAACAGGCCTCAGCCTCATTCATGCGTGCTCGTGCCAAATCACCATCCTTTAAACAGGATCCCTGCAAAAGAAAAGGAGGTCAAGATAAATGATGTTGTTAATAGTTGGGTCAATGGATGTTATGGCCAAAAGTCATGCAAATGATTTACTCAGAACAAGAAGAGAGGATAATAACCCGGAAGGCCAAAATGAACAAAGAAAAAGAATCAAAGGCTTAGTTGCTAATGACCAGGACAAGAGGTTGTATTAATAATAACTCTCACAACTTAAGCATTAAAATCTTAATTTTCTGGAAGGGTCGATTGCATGTCTTATTCAAATTAGCAAAAGAAAATAATCAAGTCCGATCATTTGTTTCTTACCTGTATATAAATGACACGCTGAGCCCATATTGGCACCTGCAGAATCATACGCATCGTTGTATCCAATTCCATGGGACTTAACAGCACCACATAGTAGTCCTGCAGCAGTGGATGGGCATAGAACTCATTGAGGAAATCCATTATCGTATCGGCATGCAATGTCGTGGAGCACACGACCACATGTTTTTCACTCTGGGCACGATGTGAGGAATAGCTGCCGCCCAATTTTTGACGTTCCATCCATGTGAAGGCCAGCTGTTCGAACTGAAAAGGAAAAGAAAGATAAGAGAACAATTGAAAAATGGTTTGTGTAAAATTTGATAATCCTTGCCACGTGGAATATAAGGCAGGCATTCTTTCTTACGAAAAAGGAAAGGCCTTGAAAACAATCGGAAATGTTTCAAATAAGAATCCTCTTCAGATAAACACAAAAGGGTTTTGCACAGAAGATCATGAGGTTCAGTAGATCTTTCTTTAGGGCTTAAAGTCTTCTTAAAGAAGCTTTAGCTTCTCTCATAGCAGACCGGAAATTCTTCTCATATAGGAGGGCTAAATGTGTTCTCATAGAGGAGTTCAAGGTCTTTTCATAGAAAAGCTGAAGGTCTTCTCCTAGAAGAGCTGAAGGTCTTCTCCTGAAAGAGCTGAAGGTCTTTTCCTAGAAGAGCAGAAAGTCTTCTTCTGAAGGTCCTAGAAGAGCAGAAAGTCTTCTCCTAGAAGAGCAGAAGGTCTTTTCCTAGAAGAGCTGAAGGTCTTCTCCAAGAAGAGTTGAAGGTCTTCTCCTAGAAGAGTTGAAGGTCTTCTCCAAGAAGAGTTGAAGGTCTTCTCCTAGAAGAGTTGAAGGTCTTCTCCTAGAAGAGCTGAAGGTCTTCTCCAAGAAGAGCTGAAGGTCTTCTCCAAGAAGAGCTGAAGGTCTTCTCCAAGAAGAGCTGAATGTCTTCTCATAGAAGAGCTGAAGGTCTTCTCCAAGAAGAGCTGAAGGTCTTCTCCTAGAAGAGCTGAAGGTCTTCTCCTGGAAGAGCTGAATGTCTTCTCCTGGAAGAGCTGAAGGTCTTCTCCTAGAAGAGCTGAGGATCTTCTCTTAGAAGAGCTGAAGGTCTTCTCATCGAAGAGCTGAGAAGGTCTTCTCATCGAAGAGCTGAGAAGGTCTTCTCATCGAAGAGCTGAGAAGGTCTTCTCATCGAAGAGCTGAGAAGGTCTTCTCATCGAAGAGCTGAGAAGGTCTTCTCATAGAAGAGCTGAGAAGGTCTTCTCATAGAAGTGCTGAGGAGGTCTTCTCATAGAAGAGCTGAGGAGGTCTTCTCATAGAAGAGGGCTAATAAGCTATCTATGCATGTCCTGGCCTGTCCATGAGCTACAGCATCATTCCAACTTCAGTCAGATGGAAAAAAGGTCATAGGCCACGGAAAGTTCTCTGTGCTCATTTCATTCTCCAGCTATGCATTGTTACAAGTTTTGAGTGATTGCAAAATGCCAGAACGGTGACAGAAAACAAAAATAGTTTTCGAGACTTTAGAAAATGTCCTTGTACCAATGTTCGTTCAGTTCATTTCCTTGTTAGTCTTTTGAATCGTAAGAATGTTCCTCGACAACGAACAAAAAAAAAAATGCAGTTCTCTGGAACTGCATTCGAATATAAATTTTGTTGTGAAAGAAATGAAAAAAGAGAAAAAACTTTTAAAACGAGGTGCATTGTTCGGCTGCGGGAGAAATGTTTGCAGGGGCGTAGATTTGCTGCAGCCACAGGTATTTCTTTCCTCCAGTGTTAGAATTATGGCTCACAGCAATGAAAAAAAGTTACGTCAGTGTTCATAGCTCAATGCAAAAACAATATTTTCACAATCTTTATTGATTCCATAAAGTTGTTGTGTTCTGTTGCTGCGTAGTTTCAATGATTTCGGTTTTTTTGCCCCGCCACGTTAAAAGGTTACTGGCATTTCCCTTAGAATTTGACAGATTCAATAAAGAAATTGATTGATGGTCAAACACTGAAGAAGTCCAGAAGAGGAGAATGGGTGGCAACAATGGTGATGGTTTGAGTGGGGTTTTTTTGTCGATGTATGTGTGTGTACGTGCGTTTACATGGCAAAGGCTTAAATGTTTTATGTAATATAAGCAAACTTCACTGCCCTCACCCACCACCACCTTTGGTATATAGCTATGATTCCCATTTTTATTTACAACGGCTATTTCAGTTTGACAGATGTGACCTACATTAAGTTTAAATGCTTAAATATGACGTCATTAATTTCGAACAGTGTTTTGAATGCTGAGGGAAAATATTAAAAATCAGTTTGAAATTTGAATAAGAACCATGAGAGAACCTCCATTTATATAACTGGAAGATTTTCAGCGAAAAGCTCCCCTGTAATGAAAAAAAAATTTCCTCGGCATTAAAGGAATGATGTAAATAATATATTTCACTTATTTATAGAAGACTTTTCTAAGATCCTCACAGTTGACCTTTCATAAAGCCTTTCAAAGTTCACAATTTCTCCTCATGGAAAACTACTACATTTTTTCATGGTCTACCGATAGGTATTTTCTAAAAATTTAAGGAATTATAGTTTTTCGTACTCGAAATATCACACAAAAAACTTTGTCCGAATATCTCATTTTTTTAATACGAATTGTCAAGGATTCTGTATTTTTAGCGACTTGACTCAGAACTCCACTTTCCAGTTTTCGAATATTAGGGTCTTTGCATTGGTATTAGTGTCAAACAGTACAAATGTAATAGGTATGCCCATTTTCATCCAAATACCATTTGTACCAAAATTTTCATATCTTTTCAGTACCAAAACCGTACAATTTTTGTAAATTGAATTTCGTAGAATATTTTAAAGCCGTCAGGCAAAATTGTACTAATTAGTATTTTTGGTACGAATTTTCAAAATGTTTTGCACCAATGTTGTATATTACAAAAGTATCAGTCGGTTTTGCCCTCAACCAATGTTCGATTATTTATATATATTTATACCCTACAACACTATGTGTTGGGGGTATTATAAGTTTGATTGGGCCAAAAATTATGTAACACCTCGAAATATTGGTTTCCCACATAGGAAAGTATATATGGGTCTTCCTAGCTCGCCGAGCTGAGTCGATCTAGCTATGTATGTCCGTCCGCCCGTCTGTCTATGTTAATTTGTAATCAAGCTACAGGTCGCAATTATGAACCGATCCTCACGAAATTGAAAATGAAGGTGGGATTAGGGCCAGAATAGAATCCTATTGTTTTTGGGAATGATTGCACGATATGTAGGGGTTGAAATGGACCAAAAACAGTAAATTTTCCTGATTTTGCAGTTGCTCTATAGGCCACAATTATGAACCAATCGACGCGAAATTTTACATGGAGTTAGTGTTTTGAACTGGGCAGAAACCTATCAATTTGGCCATCGAACAATAATTAGCGGGTAAAATAGACCCTAACTTTTATGTTAGAAAATGGGAAAATTTCCACTAAACCGCGAATATTTTTAGTTCCAGCCAAATCACAAATACATTTAAAGATCACTTCTGACCATTACAGTGATGCTAATAGTCAAGAAACCGGATATATAGCAAAATAGGTACAATAGATATGTAAAAGAATTGATCTTATTTATTCTGCTTATAAATCAAGAACCACTGGGCCGATTTTCTCTTGCCAGAAAAGGATAAAATCTAAGAAAATCGCGGGATAATTTACCAATAAAAAAGTGAACATCTTTTGTCGATTTTTTTTCAATTTTTGTCATATTTTTTATCGCATGCGATTTTTTCAATTTGATTTTCAATTTTGAATTTTAAATATTCTAAATTTTTACACCCCCCAACATTACGTTTTGATCCTCACGAAATTTTTTCCTGGGGGGTAGGGTCAGAATTGAAGCTTATTGTTCTTAGGATTTGTATTTAGAAGTTTAAGACTAAAAATTTTAAAATTTTCTAATTTTGTAGTCGTTCTATAGGCCACAATTAAACACTAATTGACACGGAATTTCGCATCGAAAGAGAGTTGAGGACAGAGAAGAAGTCTAGCATTTTGGATGACCATTGGATTACATTTAGCTGTAAAATGGATCACAACTTTCACAACTTTTGCCAAATTTTCCGGGCCAAAAAACTAAGGGTAACCTCTGGACGGTGCTCTTTGACATTATTTCAAAAACGAAATCTTCCAAAATGGATTTGGATATAAGGGGACTTCGAACAGCTTGTAGTGTTGTAGGGTATTACATGGTCGGCCCCGCACGGCTATAGCCTTTGCTTACTTGTTTGACTTTTGTCATGATTTTTTAATTTGCTGGCTCTGTATGAAGTAGGTTCCGAAGGCACAGGTCTATTCTATACATTTCGTATCGGACCTAAAAAAATATGATATAAATATTGTGATCTGCCAGGTTTGGACTATATCGACTACTTTCTTAACTTTATTTGAAAAATGTGATCATTTTTAGAAAATATTAAAATGTACTACCTCACAGGTATATTCAACCGAATTATTCCATTTTTATACTTCATCTAATACAGATAAAAATATTAGGTATGGGCAAAATTACAAGAAAATCGAACACTTATATCAAATTTTGTGCGAGATCATACATTTCATATTAATCTCAGGTTTCTGGTTTAAATAAATATTTAGACATAGCAAGTTTGAGAGAATGAGAGATAAAAGTATTGAAAATTGTGACCCTTTGCGGGTGAGTTACCAGAAGGGGTTCGCAGATATACATCACCTTCACCACAGATCTTGTCTTAACAAAAATGTTTGTATGTGTGAAATTTGGAAAGAATTGGATGCATATTTTGATCTTTTGGAGCGTTGTGTTTTTCAAAAATCTTGAACCCTATGTGGGGGAGGTACCAGAAAGAATAGTCCAATCTCTACCATCTTTATAACAGATCCTGTGTTGATGGAAATATTGATATGTACCAAGTCTGGAATGTAATCGAATGTTAATTCCGCTTTTAATGACCTTCATGAATATTCGAAATTTTGAGGCTTTGTGGGGGAGGTACTAGAAGGAGTGGACCGATATATCCCTTATATATTGTGTTAGTAGAAATAATCAGATGTGTGAAATATAAAGAGAACCTGATGCTTATTTCGCGTTTTATGACTTTCATATTCAAAATGTTGACGGGAGGTACCAGAAGGAATGGTTTGATCTCTACCGTTTTTATGACAGATCCTGTGTTGATAGAAATATTCAGAAGTGCCAAGTCTAAATGGAATCGGATGTTAATTTCACGTTGACTGATATTTTCTACTTTTGCACCTGACCGAGAACTGAGGCAAATATTAGGATTTGAAAAGTTTGGAGCAAAATCGGAGTATCGGAGAAGGAGTGGACCGTTGTATTCCATATTAACACCAGGCTTTCTGTTAATAAAAATCACAGGATGTGTGAAATTTGAATCGGACTCTTCTATCACATTTTATAGGAGTTATAATTATTCAAAATTTTTACCCTTTGTGGGGGATCGATATTATCCATTTATGAATCTGACCGAGAACTGAAGCCAATATTAGAATTAACAAAGTTGGAGCAAAATCTAAGTATTGCTTCTCTTTTTGTGCAGAAAATAGTGTTTTTTTTTTTTTAATTTCGACCTTTTATGGGGGAGGTACCAGAAGGAGTGGACCGATGTATTCCATCTTAACACCAGACCCTGGGTAAATCAATTTATTGGGATGTGTGAAATTTGAAGACAATCGGACTCTTACATAACAATTTATAAGAGTTATAATCATTCAAAATTTTGACCCCTTGTGGGGGGGAGGGTGTGTTACTGGATGGAGTGGACCGATATTGTCCATTTTCACACCTGACCTAGCATTGATGCAAATATTAGGATTTTCAAAGTAAGAGCAAAATCGAATTATCCTTTCTCTTTCTGTGTAGAAAATATTTTTTCTTGGAAAATTTCGACCTTTTTTGTGGGAGGTACCTGAAGGAGTGGACCGATATATTCCATCTTCCAGAACTTGTTTTAATAAAAATAATAGGATGTGTGAAATTTGAAGACAACCGGAACGTTACATTACATATCATATGAGTTTATAATTTTATAATTTTTCAAAATTTTTACCCTTTGTGGGGGAGTTATTGGATGGAGGGGACCGATGTTGACCATTTTCCATTTTCGCAAATATTTGGTTTTCTGTGCAGTTAATTATTATTTTTTTTAACATTTTGACATTTTTTGTTATTTCAACGAGGCACGTTTTGGCTGAATCAAATTATATATTCCCTCTTACGCCATATGCCTGAGGGCATAAAAAATTAGGATTCTGAGTTCGAACAAAATATTTGAAATTTTTAGATTTTGAACCTTAGGGTTGCCCATATTTGACGGACCCATCTGGCAACGCCATAACTTTTGACAGAGATGTCACATCGCTTAATGACATACCGCGTTTGAAGCGTCAGTCCAAGCAGATTGTTACCAAGAACCAATACACTCGTTCTGAAACAGATGAAATTTACATTCAACAGAAGAAGTCAATTGTGAAAACTCAACGTGCTTTTAAAACATTAAAAAATGTGAGAAGTGCGCCTTCTAAGAACGCCATTAAGCGTTTATACGAAAATTTTTCGACTGGTAAGGCTCTTTCTAATCCGAAGAGGCCATATTAAAGTCGACCAAGGCGATCGGCCGAGAATATCGCTGCCGTACGAGCAACTGTTGAGAGGTCCACAAGAACATCCCAAAATCGCCGTTCTCAGCAGTTGGGCATGGCTCGGTCCACTTTACAACGGATTATTCGCATTGATTTGCATTTGTTCCCGTACAAAATTCAATTGACGCAAAGAATGTTGCCTGCGGACAAGCCTCGTCGATTGGAATGGGCCCAAAGGGCCCAAAGGTCCGGGGCAACCCTGTAGTATATCAAATTTTAGTATTATTAAACAGTAGGGTATTAATTACTTTTTCTAGAAACTCCACCCTATCTCACGTCTGTAACCAGCGGGAGATCTGTGTACGAAATATTAAGATATTAATTTCAACCTTTCAGAAACAGAGTTTTGGTTCTCATGAGTACCTTTTGGTAAATATTTCAAAATCCCAGAAATATCTCTCCTCTTGTTGTCGTTTTTTGTCTGGGGTTTGAAGATAAATAATTCATGAATTTTTTACAAGTTAATACATATTTATGTATAGAGATGACATTTAAAGGGGTCTTCTATACAGTCCTTTATATTGGACATTCATATAAAAAAAACAAATACCTTCCCTGACATTCTCCGAATTCGCTTTCACATCACTGTTCTCATTTTCAAAGCAAAAACATATTTCTATATGCCTGGGTATAAATATTTTGTACACAACTCATTTTGTTTTCAATGAACTGTCACATTATATAAAATATCATTGCCCTCTCCCATTTTTCCCTACTGAGGCGGTCTGCTACAGAATCCACTTCACATGAAACGTAAACAAAGCATAAACCCATTCCAGGGTTCTCCTTTTGTTTACATTTTCTTTTCTTGTGGCCGTCAGTCTGTTACTGTTGTTATAATGGCCCGATTCTCTGGGTTTTTGTTCGTTTCGGTTTGTTTGCTCTTAAAACTCTGCCACCATAACTTACCTGCGTTGGTAGAACAATTAAAGCCACACAAATCATTATGACCATGTACAACTGTGAGGGCCAGATGTCGGGCACGAAATCACCGTAACCCACTGTCGAGAAGGTGACCACCACATAATAGGTGGACTGGAATAAATTCAAATGGCGATGGCCGGCACGTTGAAAATGTTGTATGCCACAAACGCTGGAAGACACAAACAAACAATGAATAAGAAAAAAAGGGAAGAAGAAGATGAAATGAAAGGAAGAAAAAAATATAAAAAAGAATGTTTGAATGGAAATATCTGTTTTGTGAAGCATGCATTCAATGTCATATTTTTATGGTTATATAATAGGACAGAGAGAGAGAGAGAGAGAGAGGGAGAGTTCCATGCAACTCACCTGGTAAAAACTAAACACAACAATGTGGCCGACAATATTGTCAGTTGTTGTGACAAGGCTGACTGTGACTTTTGCATGGCCCGATGTAAATCGTTCTGAAATTGAAGTAAATAATCAATTTTTTATTAATTGTATCTCAAATGGGATTTGAATTTTTCGTTACTTACGAACATGTTCTCCAGGGAACGTTTCGCCAGCCAGCAATTTAGGAATATGGGTATGAATAAATTTCTTAATGGAGACCATAATATCTGGGAGAAAAAGACATAAACAAAATTAGAGAAAATATTGAGTTTTTGAAATTTTGTCATATATATATGATCTGTTCCAGTACCTGCAAGAATCTACTTGTTTTACAATTTTCTTCGATAAGATAAAGAGAAAATCGGTTATCATAGTAAAAACTTTTACATTCTTGCAGTTCTGGAACAGACCAATAACATGGAACGTAGGGTATAATAAATAGTTCATTATGCTTGTATCTAGTTAAAATAAATATCAAATGCTTGATGAAAGAGATAATTGGGAGATAAGGGACACCTCACTCATTTGGCCTCTTACAATCGCAGGCATAAAAAGCCTACTGGAGGATTTTTTTGAAAGGACATTACAATATCCTCCATGATCTGCAGATGACATATGAAGGAAGCTTCTATCCTTTACAATACATCTCTCAACCACGATCTGCAGATTTCTACATACGGAAGAAAAATTTTATATTCAATAGAAGATTTTTGAAAGGACTTCTGATGGAACTTTTGTTCCATAGAAAACTTTAGAGCAGACTACTATGTAATATCTTTTAGACGATGTCCTTTCTGCTGAATAGATCAAAATCGTATATTCTATACAATACTCCTGAGAAATAATAGAAATTCCCCAAAGAATACCACTGAAAATGATACGGTTCTATAAAATTTTTTCTAAAAAATTCTACCGAACTTATATTCAATAGAAGACCTCAGAGCTGACTTTAGGGAATACATCTCAGTGGATTTCTTTCAGTAAAAGAAAAACGAAAACATTTTATATCCGAAATTATATCTCTGAAAGAGCTTCTATTCTTATACAGGCTTCTAAAAGGACCTCAGTTTTATGAGATAACTAAAAAATTATAAAAATTTTTAAAAATCTTCTATTTTTTATTACATATTTTAATATTCTATAGCTCTACTTTATTAAAAAATCTGCGACATGCCTACTATTTCCTATTGCCTCAAGTGAGAACTTTTATTCTATAAACGATATATGTTCTAAAAAAATACTCTGGATTTTTACTCTTTCCTGTTGGGGTCTCAACAATAGAGTTGCACTCAAAGCTCTTCTATTCTAGGAGCTTTTCTTTCTTAGAAGACTTCTTAAAGGACATTTGAACATTTTCCTCATCTTGTAGTCTTTATACGATTATTTCTATTAGATATCTCTTGAAATACTTTTCTAGAGAATCTATGTTTTATAGAAGTTATTTGTGAGAACTTAGAAATAAGCAATGCAAAAATCCCGAAATCTCGTATGTTCTACAGAAGACCTCTTAGAGAACTTATCTTTTATAGAAGATCATGGGAAACAGTTTTCTTTTACATTTTCCAGTAAAGACCAATGAGAAGTATTTTATTAGAAAAATGGTCTTTTGGGATCTCAGAAGTATTAGGGCCTTACTAAATTTCTACTGTTTGTTTTAGAGAAGTGCTCCAAGGAATTTCCTTTTTTTGCTAATAGTTATGAAAACGGAATTCCACTCTATGGAAGTCCTTAAGTCCTTATTGAGGACTAAGAGGACTTTAATTTCATAAATATCCTCCCAGAGAGCTTAAAAGCTATAATCGATCTCCGAAAGAAATTTCTCAACAAAAGGCCTCTGAGAGGATCAATTCTCTATAGAAGATCTCTGGACGATTTTGTTTACAGATGTAATCTAAACTACTTTTTCTCTTCAAAAGACTATTGAGAGAAGTTATATCACAAAAAAATTTCCTTCGAAAGAATTCAGAAGTTTAGAAGCCTTCTGAAAAATCTCCATCTCTTAGAGAAGTGTATTTCATAGATGCTTTTTGATGAATTTTATAGGCAAAATATATATTAAAGGACTCCTACTATATGGAATTCTCTGAGTAGACTATTATTCTATAAAAGATTTCCAAGTGGAATTCAGTTATTATTCAAGCGGAATTTTACTCTATAGGAGCTCTTCATGATGAAGAAGACTTCTATTAAGTAAAAGTCCTCCAAGAGGACTCAATTCCATAGGAGATCCCAAAGGGGTCTTTTTCAAAAAGGAGATCTGATAAAATTATTGTCCTATTAAAAAATTACAAGACCTAAAATTTGTTACAATTCCTCCGAGAGGTTATCCTTCTATGGAGGACTTTAATTTCCCAGGACACTTCAATTTTATGCGAGTCTTCCAATATAAATGTATCTCCAAAAATAGGAATTTCGATCAATAGAAGTCCTTTGAGAGAACATCTATTTATTTGAGATCCATTGATCGGACTTTTATCCACCCTCAAAGAAGACATTTAAAAGTAGAATTATTTTTTATACTTTGTTCTAAGATATTATATGACAAAGGGGACTATAAAACTATTTATGAGAGTACATCGATTCAATAGAAATTCCTGCTACTGAGCTTAAATCATATAGGAGACGCCTAAGAGAACTTCTCTATAGAAGGCCATTGATAGGACGTTTCGTTTGATTCTAAAAAACATATTTTATAGAAGAACAGAGGGATTTTTTTATACAGGACTTCTATTCTGCAGAAAACCCTCTATTCTTCTATTTTAAGGAAAACCTCAGAGCGGAAAAGGGCTTTTGAGAGTATTTCCTTTCAATATAACTTCAATAAAACTTTTCTTAAAGAAATCGAATAGAAGTCGTTTGTGAGGTCCTCAATATAAGTCCTCTGAGAGATTTTTAAAAGAAACATTTAATAGAAATTCTGTCAAAGAACTTTAATAGAAGTCCTCTGAGAGAACTTTAATAAAAGTCACCTGGGAGAACTTCCATTCAATACACGTTCTTTGAAAATGCTTCTACTCTGACATTTATTTATGTAAAATCCTTTGGAAGAGTATGTTTCAATGAAGACCTTTAAAAGATTATTACATTATGTAGATGAATGCTGAATGCCTGCTTCTCTATAGATCTTCGAAAGGGCTTCAAATCAATGAAAGACCTCAAAAAAAAAAAAAAAATTAAATAAAAATAAAATTCTTGTAACTCTTCTCTATAGCGTAAACATTTTGTCCTAAGTCCTAAAGTCCTAATCCTTCTCCTAGTAGCCCTACTTTGGCCGGAAAAAAATTGGAAAAATTAAAGATTTGAATGGATGTTCATGTATATGAATCCTGCTCCTTGCAGCAATGCGTTTTATTGAAAGTCGACTATCAGAAATATGGGCTGCCGATAGTTTACTATCTCTGCTATGTGTTCTAATATATTCGCGCCTTTTTATAGAAAACTATTATATCTCATTAAGAAAAAAACACCTTGAGGCTATTCAACTTCCAATGTTGACCAAGTTTTTCAGGATCTTAAGTTGAGGTGTTAAATCCTTCTAGGAATGTAGTTTTTTACAGGACTCAAGATTCAACGAAATTATTAACTTACAATATCCTCCATTCCAAAACAAACACAAATACATTTGACAGCATTTCTGAAACTTACCGTTAATGCAAAAGGTATTGTCGTAATTAATTCTAATATAAAATGAAACGAAAGAATTTGTTGCCATATATTTCCCTGTAAAGAAAATAAATGAGAACAACAACAACAACAATATATTATATTAATAAGGAACAAATAATACAATAAAATAGAGGCCTGGATGGTAAATTAACTTAACAAAGCAGGTCGATTTTTACCCAGATGGTAAACAAATGGTAACAATAAATAGAATTATGTAGGGGAGGTTAATTTTCCACCACCTTCCTTTCCCGGGTTAATATTTGTTGACACTAGTTATTTTCAGGGATGGAAAAGTTACTATGAAATAAGTTTGGCAGTTAAGGAATTTATTTGGAGCAAATGAATTTATAGTTCTTATACCCTCCACCATGGTATGGAGGGTATAGTAAGTTTGTCATTCCGTATGTCACACCTCGAAATATACATTTTAGACCCCACAAAGTATATATGTTCTTGATCAGCATAAAATTCTATGTCGATTTAGCGATGTCCGAACGTCTGTCCATCTGTGGAAATTACTCTAGCTTCCGAATGAAATGAAGTAGGTTGATAAAATTTTACTAAAATGTATATTATGCCTGCAGGACTTTTGGTATTGAAAATGGGTAATGTAGGTCCACGTTTTGGTATAGCCCCCATATAACGGTACTTCCGATATTCGGCATTTTGATGATTTTAGCGACATTATTCACCGAAATTGTTTTAAAATTGGTATTTGATGTTCGTAATGGATACTACTGCCTATGGCAGAAAATTGTCTGTGCAGGCCCACGCCTTTGTATAGCCTCCGATATTCGATATTTTGATGATTTTAGCGACATTATTCACCGGAATTGCTCCAAATCTGGTATTTGAAGTTCGTAATGGATACTACAGCCTGAGACAGAAAATTGTTTGTGCAGGTCCACGTCGTCGTAAAGCCCCCATATAACGGTACCATATAACGGATATTATTCACCGGAATTGCTTCAAATTTGATATTTGAAGTTTGTTATGGATACTACAGCCTAAGACGGAAAATTGTCTGAGCAGGTCCACGTCATCGTAGAGCCCCCATATAGTGGTACCTGTCGATATTTGGTATTTTGATAATTTTAGCGACATTTTAGCGGAATTGTTTCATAAAATTTGGTATTTGATGTTCGTAATGGATACGACAGCCTATGACAGAAAATTGTCTGTACAGGTCCACGTCTTCGTATAGCCCTCATATAGCGGTACCTCCCGATATTCGGTATTTGGATGATTTTAGCGACATTATTCACGGGAATAGCTTCAAATTTGGTATTTGAAGTTCGTAATGGATACTACAGTCTATGACAGAAAAATATCTGTGCATGTCCACGTTTCGGTATAGCCCCCATCATATAATAATACCTCCATACATTCGGTATTTTCATAATTTTGATGATGCAGGTCCACGACCGTAATATAACGGTTACATTCGGTATTTTTAGGATTTTAACAAAATTTTTAATAGATTTTTTTTTTTGAAAATTGCCAAATTTATTCAAAATAGTGGAGGGTATTCAAAGTTCGGCCCGGCCGAAATTACAGCGTTTTTAATTGTTTTTTTTTTCTTAAATGTCTGTGAAACTCAAAATATATTTCCGAGGTAATTGATATTTATTGAAAGTATTAACCCTCTAAGGGTACCAAAGTATTTATTTTTGTTAAACTAAACATTTCTCAAAATTCCCAGTAATTTCAATTTTCCATCCCTGGTTGATAAACTTTGAGTTGATTGGGTATGTGGTGGTTTATGAATTGTTTAACAAATTGTTAACATAAATTAAAGTAGCCAGTTAATTTGTGTGTGTGTGTGAGTAACTTCAAGTGGTGGTGGTGCAAGGGAGATATATTAAAGAAAAAATTAAAATTATATAACTTGGCATACTTACCTTATAGCCTAAATATGTTAAGAGTACGGCTTCCGTTAGTGAGACTAAAGCTAAAATTAATTGAACAGCCCATAACACTGTGGGACGATTCACCCACAATATTGCCTCCCAATTGATAATGGGTTTCTCCTGGAACTCCTCTTCGGTCAGTTGGGCCGAAGCCAGAAATTCCGTTTTATTGCTAACCGTACAGCCATAACTGCAAAGGAAAAAAACAAAAAAGAAAAACACACCAAGGTCAAAATCTAAATTTAAATCCGAAAAGTTAAAAATATCTCTCACTCACCATGTGGCATAGGTTGGATCTGTATCCGTTATCACACGTAATATATACAAAACACACGCTAATAATTTAAAAAATAAATCAGCTATTCGTATGCGTAAACCTGTTTGGAAAAGAACAAAACGAAAGAGAAAGACAGAGACAGAGACAAAAGTAAATAAAAATTTGCGCAAAAAAGGATTATTTCTTATCCATGAGCATGAGGCAAACAGAATTTCACAGTTGAATAGTTTCATGTGAAAGGCATATTTTACATACATATTATATTTTCTTTTCAGTCGATGTCAATCCTTTCTTTTTTTTTTTTTGAAAAAAAAAAATGCTACTAAAGATTTCCAAGAATGTTACACAACAATTGTTCAAACATTACAAATACTAAAAACATAATAATCATATCAAATGGCACGTGCCCTGACAAGCCCATCCATCCAACCATCCATACACCACATATTACACACACACACATTTATACACAAAGAGTGTGTGTGTTTCTGTGTGTGTGAGAGAGAAAGCGGGGGAGAGCACCATATCCTTTGCCTTCGAATGTTGTAATCATTTAATGTGTGCCAGCATTTGTTGGTCGTAACCCTAGCCTCTTTATTCCTGGTGGAGTATTCTAATATTCCCCTAATGAATCTCTGGTGATGACATGGTCTCCTGACACAGACAGGGCCATCGCACAGTGCATGGAAATGTGGTTAAAGATTAGATTCATTTGAAAATTAAACTAAGTAATATGGAACAGCCTAAGAAAAATCGATTGGATAGAAGTTATTCTCGTCGATGGAAACCTGTAAGAGTATTTTGTGCACAGGGCCGATAGTATGGTCTTCCACATATGGAAGCCATCTAGAAGACCCATAAGTCCTTTAGATGTACAGGGTGAGACAAAAAAACTACAACAAAGTCAAACGTCATCATTTTTACATTTTTTTTTTTTTAAATTATTGAATGAAAGCAAGAAATGTCGGAAATAGCATCAAATATTAGAACAAGTTTAGATTTGTTCGAATTGGTCAACTTTGGCACGAATTATGGTCTTCAAACGGCTAATGAAACCGTCACACGCTGCCCGAATGTTGCTCTGCGGTATTTTGGCCCATTCCCGGCCAAGTGCTTGCTTGATTTGATCGCCACTTTGGTATTTTTTAGTGTCAACCTTGCTTTCCAAAATACTTCAGACACAATAGTCCAACGGAGTGGTATCCGGAGATTTTGATGGCCATTGTGCGCTGGAAACGAAGCGAGGAACCACATTTTGTAACCATTCTTGGGTGGCGCGTGCTGACTGCGATGGTCCTGTTGCAATGTCCAAGGTCTGCTGCAAAAATGTTTGCGTGTCCAAGGCTTTCGTACACACCCACCAGAATATTTTCGCGATAATATTCGGCATTTATTCTGATGCCACGGTCGATTAATAGGAGCGGAGATCGATCAAGGTGTGCGGCCAAAATATTTGCGTACCCAAGGCTTTAATACACCCTCCAGAATATTTTCACGATAACATTTGGCATTTATTCTGAATAAGAGCAGAGAGCGACCATCGGCTGTTATGGCGGCCCACATCATCACCATGGCCGGCGCTTGAGTTCTGGCGGCAACCGAAGATGCACATTTTCAGCTGACCTCTTTGGCGAGCAAACACGATCATTTTGTTTGTTTACAAACTGCTGGACAACGAATGTTTTCTCATCGGAGAAAACCAAATTCGGCAGTTCACCACTTTTGGCCAAGCGAAGCAACTCTTTAGCTCTTTTGAGTCTATTTGGTTTCTGTTGCGGAATAAGTTCTTGTACTTTTTGGAATTACAATGGCTTTACCCCGAGCTCATTTTTCAATATTTGTCGAATGGAATATTGCGATATGTTCAGCTCACGAGCCAGTTTTCGGCCACTGCGACACGGATTTCGATCAAGTCGCTTCTTTACTTTTCGAACTAGTTCAGCTGATGTTTCTACTTTCTTCCGTCCACTTCCTTGACGTCGGGCTTCGCTACCAGTATCACGGTAACGGTCACGAGAGATGATACGAGACACAGAAGATTTATTCACATTTAAATGCTGGAGTGCTCTAACGATAGCCACTTGTGGCTTTCCATTCAAATATAAAGAAATCACACTATCACGCTGGTGGCCATCACGAATAACTTTTTTTCTGGAAAATTCTCACCAAAATACTTTTATACGTTTGTAAACAATATAATGAGCTGTCACTGGCATAATTTTAACAGCTGTCGGACGAGTGTCTTAGAAATGACAGAAGTCTGGAGTTGGTTGCAGTTTTTTCATCTCACCCTGTATATACACCCTCTACCCATATGGCTATGAAGAAGGAGTCTTCAGAAAAGCTTTCGAATAATAAGACGTTTCCGTTGTCGTTTTGTTTTCTTGTTTTTATATCCTCAGCCATGTAGCGAGAGATACAACCAAAAAGTGCTTCATCGAAATAACGGTTTTAGACCCTAAGTCTCTTTGGACCCAATCATTTTCAGGGCATTGAGAGTCGATCTGTCTGTCTGGCTGGTGCACACAATAACTCCCAAAGGGTGTATCCCATTTGGCCCAAACTTGGTACATCGTAATATTATTGTAAAACTTAGATCGAGCTCGGAGATGGGCAATATCCGTCCACTCACTCTGATACCTGCCTCACAAAATGCCAATATTTTCAAAGGAAATAATTTACTGCATAGAAAGATAAAGAATAATACGATTCAGCCCCATCTTTGGGAGTCCTAATATTTGCGTTCGTGATAGGTCAAGTGCGAATATGGACAATATTGGTCCACTCCGTCAAGAACCTCCCACACAAAGGGTCAAAATTTTGAATAATTATAACTCTTATAAAATGTGATGTAAGAGTCCAATTGTCTTCTAATGACACACATCACAACATTTTTATTAACCCAAGGTCTAGTGTGAAGATGGAATATATCAGTCTACTCCTTCTCGTACCTCCCCCACAAAGGCTCAAAATTTTGAATATCCATAAAGCTCAGAAAACACGAAATTAACATCCGATTACACTCAGACTTTTCACATCTCAATGTTTCCATCAACACAAGATCTGTTATAAAGATTATAGAGATCGAATCACTACTTCTGGTACCTTCCCCAGAAAGGGTCGAAATTTTGAATAACCAAAACGATTATAAAATCCGAAACAAGCATCCAGTTCTCTTCATATTTCACACATCCAATTATTTCTACTAACACAAGATCTGCTGTAAAGATGGGATGTATCGGTTTACTCCTTCTGGTACCTCCCCTCACAAAGGGTCAAAATTTTGAAAATCCACAAAGCTTATAAATATGCGAAATTAACATGCGATTATATTCTGATTTGGTACATCTTAATAGCTTCATCAATACAAAATCTGTTATAAAGATGGTAGAGATCGGACCGTTTCTTCTATCTTCTAAATTTGAAGTCTTCTAAATGAAGGAAGATTTTAACTAGAATCTAGAATTTAAAAGGTTTTAAATTTTTTCTCATGGTAAAGGATATGAAGAGTTCGTCTCGAAAACTAAACCTTTTCCGCTTGTTAAATGATGGTTCTTGAGGAAATGAAGAAATTTTAAATCAGTGGATACCTTCGATTCGAGGGAAGATTATATCATCACAGGTTAAAAACAGAAACACTCATTTTAATAATGTGGCTATAATATGGCTATGTTTTCTGTTTTCAACATGTGATGATATACAGGGTAAGATGAAAACATTGCAACCAACTTCAAACTGCTGTCATTTCTAAGCTACTCATCCGACAGCTGTTAAAATTATTCCAGTGACAGCTCATCATATTGTTTACAAGCGTACAAAAACTTTTTGTTGAGAATTTTTCAGAAAAAAAGTTATTCGTAATGACCACCAGAATTCAAGCGTGATAGTGTGATTTCTTCATATTTGGCTGAAAAACCAAAAGTGACTATCGTTAGATCACTCCAGCATTTAAATGTGAATAAATCTTTTGTGTTTCGTAACATCGCTCATTACCGTGATATTGGCAACATAGCCCGGTCAAGGAAGTGGACGAAAGAAAACAGCAACATCAGCAGAAATGGTTCGAAAAGCAAAGAAGCGACTTGATTGAATCCCGCATCGCAGTGGCCGAAAAATGTGGCCTCCTGAGCTGAACATATCGCAATATTCCATTCGGCAAATATTGAAAAATGAGCTTGGGGTAAAGCCATTGAAACTTCAAAAAGTGCAAGAACTTACGCCGCAACAGAAAGAAAATAGACTCAAAAGAGGTAAAGAGTTGCTCCGCTTGGCCGAAAGTGGTGAGCTGCCGAATTTGGTTTTCTCCGATGAGAAACCATTCGTTGTCCAGCAGTTTGTAAACAAACAAAATGATCGTGTTTACTTGCCAAAGAGGTCAGGTGAAAATGTACACCTTCGGTTGGCCACTAGAACTCAAGTGCCGGCCATGGTGATGGTGTGGGCCGCCATAACAGCCGTTGGTCGCTCTCCGCTCGTATTAATTGATCGTGGCATCAGAATAAATACAGAATATTAACGCGAAAATATTCTGAAGCCTTGGACACGCAAACATTTTGGCCGCAGATCTTGGACATTCCAACAGTACTCAGCACAATCGCACTCAACACGTGCCACCCAAGAATGGTTACACACCGAGGTTCCTCGCTTCATTTCCAGCGCACAATGGCCACCAAAATCTCCGGATACCAATCCGTTGGACTATTGTGTCTGGAGTATTTTGGAAAGCAAGGTTGGCACTAAAAAATATCAAAGTGTCGATCACCTCAAGTCGGGAATAGGCCAAAATACTGAAATCACGAAACAGCCCACATTACTTGACGTAGAGCGTCAAAATTTAGCAGAATAATTTTGTATTGTGTATAGGATGGTTGGTATTGAAAATGAGATATATCCGTCCACGTTTTGGTATAGTCCCCATATAACGGACCTTCCGAAGTTCGACATTTTGATGATTTTTGCCACATTTTTTCACGGATTTGTCTAAAAAATTGGTATTTGTTGGTCATAATGGGTTCTGGCTGCGATGGCGAATCATTGTATTCAGATATTCGGTATTTTGATGATTTTTGCCACACTTCTCCGTGGATTTGTCTAAAAATTGGTATTTGTAGATCATAATGGGTCCTAGTTCGTGCGCCGAAACATTGTATGTATAGGTCCACGCTTTGGTATAGCCTCCATATAACGGTACCTTCCGATATCCGGTATTTTGATGATTTTTGCCACATTTTTTCACGGATTTGGCTAAAAATTGGTATTTGTTGGTCATAGTGGTGTCTAGCTTCGGTGGCAAAACATTACATGTATAGCTCCACTATTACGTATAGCCCCCATATAACGGTACCTCCAGATATTCGGTATTTTGATGATTTTTGCCACATTTCTTCACGGCTTTGTCTAAAAATTGGTATTTTTGTGTCCTTATGGGTTCTACCTCCGTTGCCGAAATATTGTATGTATAGATCCACGTTTTGGTATAGCTCCCATATACAGGTACCTCCAGATATTCGGCATTTTGATGATTTTTGCCACATTTCTTCGCGGATTGGCCTAAAAATTGGTATTTGTAGGTCATAATGGGATCTAGCTTCGGTGGCAAAACATTGTGTGTATAGGTCCACGTTTTGGTATAGCTCCTATAAAACGGTACCTCCAGATATTCGGTATTTTGATGATCTTTGCCACATTTCTTCGCGAATTTGTCTAAAAAATTGGTATTTTTGTGTTTTATGGGTTCTAGCTCCGGTAGCAAAACATTTCATGTAAAGGTCCACGATTTGGTATAGCTCCCATATAACGGTACCTCCAGATGTTCGGTATTTTGATGATTTTTGCTACATTTCTTAGCGGATTTGTCTAAAATTTGGTATTTGTTGGTCATAATGGGTTCTAGCTTCGGTGGCAAAACATTGTATGCATAGGTCCGCGATTTGGTATAGCCCTCATGTAAGGGTACCTCCCGATATGGGGTATTTTGATGATTTTTGACACATTTTTTCACGGATTTGTCTGAAAATTGGTATTTGTTGGTCATAATGGGATCTAGCTCCAGTGGCAAAACATTGCATGTAAAGCTCCACTATTTGGTATAGCTCCCATATAACAGTACCTCCAGATAATCGTTATTTTAAGGGTTTTTCCACTTTTTTGTAACGGATTTGTCTAAAAATTGGTATTTGTTAGTCATAATGGGTTCTAGCTTCGGTGGCAAAACATTGCATGTATGGGTCCACGATTTGGTATAGCCCCCATATAACGGTACCTCTCGATATTCGGTATTTTGATAGTTTTTGCCACATTTTTTCACTGATTTGTCTAAAAATTGGTATTTGTAGGTCAAAATGGGTCTTAGTTCATGTGGCGAAACATTGCATGTAAAGGTCCACCATTTGATGTAGCTCCCATATAACGGTACCTCTAGATATTCGGTATTTTGATGATTTTTGCCACATTTCATCGCGGATTTGTCTAAAAATTTGTATTTTTGTATCCTTATGGGTTCTAGCTGAGTTGCCGAAATATTGTATGTATAGGTCCACGTTTTGGTATATCTCCCATATACCTCCAGATATTCGGTATTTTGATGATTTTTGCCACATTTCTTCGCGGATTTATCTAAGAATTGGTATTTTTTGTCCTTATGGGTGCTAGCTCCGTTGCCGAAATATTGTATGTATAGGTTCACGTTTTTTGTATAGACCCATATAGCGGTACCTTTGGTGATTTTTGCGACATTTTTCCACGAATATGTCTAAAAATTGGTATTTGTGGGACACAATAGGTTCTAATGTTTCCTTTACACTAAGGTGGCAGTTTTTTACAGTTTTTTTAGCTCACCCTGTTATGTTCGCTTGAATTAAGGTTATGCATTGATTAACAAATCTTCCTTATATTTTGACATCTTGCCACTGGATAACTCTCTATCTCTATACTTCCATATTCTTTTATGATGTCCCTTAATTAGTACACACGCTTTCGTTTCACATCAATGCATGGCAAAAAACGCACATGTCACTTAACTAAATCAAGAACTAATGAATATTCTAATTTATTTATTGAAATACAATTTTCATATTTTTTCTATTTTCATAATTTTTTCCCATATTCCATAACATGAAACCATTCCGAATTCAAATCATTCATTTTCGAAAATAATCCACTTGAATTAAATATAATATGATTAGTGATTGGCACTTGCCACTTGCCATTGTGATACTTACTTGATCTCTGATTCTTAATGAAGTAGAGTTGCAGTCTTTCTTTAAATGTGTTTTCATTAACATAGTATTCCACACGTACTCTGTGAATGAGAAGAGAGGAAGAGAGGGAGAGAAAGAGAGAGAAAAATATATATGAAAATTAATTAAAATCACATAGTAGTTATAGTACATGTGTATGTCTATGTGTGTGTGTGTGTGCTGAAATGCAGACACTACTGAAAAACACAAACACACACACACAGACAGCCATAGATATAAAACATAAAGAACATGAATCCCAGTTCATGATAAAAGGTAAATATTTGTTTATCGTTAATCACAGCTGGTGTCGTTCGTTGTTGATGGTCTGGTCTCGTCTAGAGCTTTTTTTTATCAAGGTTAAGTCTATGTACTACATATGTATGTGTGTGTGAATTTACGTATCAGTGTATATGAAGTTTCAAAACCAGTGATATTCAAATTTAATAAATGGATTTCTGTGACATGATTTTAAGTATCTTTTAATGATATGTATACAAATTAATTAAGTTGACAGACACTTTCAGATGTTTTAATGTACTTGATAAGTATGCGTTGAAATTTGGAATACATTTTTGTGTCTTTCTATGAAATAAAGAAGATCTTTACTTTGAAACCAAAAAAAAATAAAATAAAAAATAAAAAAATAAGGGCGTTTCAAGAATATTAAATTTGTATATGAATTTATTCATATTTTATTTCACTTCTAGAAGGCATGTAGACATCTTATGTTATAATAACTTATATATTAAAATAACTGCTAAAAATTCAGTTGAATATCCTAAGAAGATCTTCTATCCATTGATGACCTGTTGAAAGCACAACAAAAGGCCTTATTTTTATTGGACACCAAAACAAATTCTTCTGCCGGTAGAAGACAGGCAAAATTTATTTGTAATTTTAATTTAATTATACCCTACGCCACAAGGTGGCCAGGGTATTATGTCTTAGTGCATTTGTTTGTAACAGGAAAAAAGGAAACGAGATAGACCCATAGTTCCTTTCGATGATCTGCATAGAATTACATTCTGAGTTGATTTATGCATGTCCGTCCGCTGTCCGTCCGTCTGTCCATGTATTTTTGTAAACAAAGTACAGTTCGCATTTATTGCCCTATCCAGATGAAATTTTGCACAAATCATTTGTTTGGCCCAAGGACGAACCTTATTGAAATTGGACATAATCGGTCAAAATTTAGATATAGCTCGCATATATATTTCCGTCCGATTTGCCTTTTATTGTGCCCCAAACGTGTAATATCAGCCCGAATAGTATGGAATTTTGCACATACAAACAAATTAGGCCTGAAAATAAGAATGCCAAATTTGGTTCAGAAATCGGTTCAGATATAGCTATAGCTCCAATATATATTGTTCATCCGATTTGTTATTTTTGTCCTCCGCAGCCGTAATATGCAACAACAATATTTGGGGAAATATATCAAATACAGTTCAGAAATACATTTGCAAAACTTTATCGAGATCGGTTCAGATTTGGACATAACTTCCACATATAACTTCGTCCGATTTACCTTTTATTGTGTACCAAACATATAATAATTGTCCAAATGGGATGAAATTTGCACTTACGACCGAATTGAGTCTAGAAGCTAGACAGCCAAATTTGGTGAAGATCGGTTCAGATATAGCTATAGCTCCCATATATACAGTTCATCCGATTTGTTATATTTGTTACCCACAGCCGTAATATGCACTCCGTAACAACGATATTCAGGGAAATATATGAAATACAGCTCAGAAATATCTTTGGCAAATTTTATCAAGATCGGTTCCGATTTGGATATAGCTTCCATATATATCTTTATTCGATTTCAAATTAATTGTGCACCAAATGGACAATACAAGTCCGAATTTAAAAGAAACCAATGCTTCGGCATATTTAGTCCTTTGAACTTTAAATTATAATTTTAATCATAGCGTGTATGATTGAATTCACCCATAGAAACTTTTAATTGTTATGCGCAGCTCTACTAAATTAGCAAAGTGGTGTAGGGTATCATAAAGTCGACCCCGCCCGACTTTAAGACTTTCTTTGCTGGTTTTATTTATAGCTGGGCCGGTACAAGGCATTTCTTTAACAGTGAACCTACCAAAGGGTTTTCATTTACAGAAGACCTGCAAAAGTTATTTTACCCATAAAACATTTAGAAATGATTTGTTTTTTAAAATAGAAGTTATTTTTTGTATAGAATTTTTGAGGATGGTGTCCTTTGTAATAATTACCATTTAAAACCAGTAAGGAAAGCTTAAAAGTCGGGCGGGGCCGACTATATGATACCCTATACCACTATGCATATTTAGTAGAGCTCTCGTAAAAAGGTTTATACAGTGCATTTCAGAGCTCTATGAGATATTTGGTACAAAATCAAAATCTATCTAATTCTATAGTGCATTTTACGAACTATAGCTATCTCTGAACCGGGTTTCTCCAAATTTGACGTATTAGCTTCTAGACTGAATTCGGTATTATGTACGAAAATTCAGGTGATTTGGGCTGATATTGGCCATTTAGTGCACATTTAACCCGAAATCGGATGAAGATATATATGGGAGCAATATCCAAATCTGAACCGATGTCGATATAATTTAAAACAGCCATTCCTGTGCTCCATCTAATACCTGGTACCAAATATCACGGTTGTGGAGTGCATAATGTAAGGGACTAAAACACTAAATCGGATGAAACATATATATGGTTGCTATATCTATATCTGAACCGATTTTCACTAAATTTGATAACTTGCTTCTAGGCTGAATTTGGTCAGATGTACTACAATTCAGTCCATTTGGACTTATATCGGCCATTTGGTGCACAATTAACCCGAAATCGGATGAAGATATATATGGGAGCTATATCCAAATCTGAACCGATTTCGATAAAATTCCAAACAGCTATTTCTGGGCTGTATCTTATATCTGGTACCAAATATCATTCTTGTGGAGTGCATATAACGAATGTGAGAGGCTTAAACACCAAATCGGATAAAACATATATATGGGAGCTATAGCTGTTTCTGAACCGATTTTCTCCAAATTTGTTGTATTTGCTTTAAGGCTAATCTCGGTCACATGTGCCAAAATTCGGGCCATTTGGGCTGATATTGGCCATTTGGTGGTCAATTAACCCGAAATCGGATGAAGATATATATGGGAGCTATATCCAAATCTGAACCGATTTCGATAAAATTTAAAACAGCTATTTCTGTGCTCTATCTAATACCTGGTACCAAATATCACGGTTGTGGAGTGCATAGTAGGAATGTGAGGGACTTAAAGATAAAATCGGATGAAAGATATATATGGGAGCTATAGCTATATCTGAACCGATTTTCTCCAAATTTGATATACTTGCTTCTAGGCCGAACTCGGTTGGGTGTGCCCAAATTCAGGTAATTTGGATTGATAGTGGACATTTGGTGCACATTTAACCCGAAATCGGATGAAGATATGTATGGGAGCTATATCTAAATTTGATCCGATTCTCACCACTTTCAATAGGGTTCGTCCTTGGGCCAAAAAAATATTGTTTGGAGAATTTCATCTCAATCGGATAATAAATGCGACCTGCATTTTGTTCACAAGAATACATGGACAGACGGACGGACGGACGGACAGACGGACTGACATGCATAAATCGACTCAGAAAGTGATTCTATGAAGGTTCTCAAAAGTAACTATGGGTCTATCTCGTTTCCTTCTCCATGTTACAAACAAATGCACAAAGACATAATGCCCTTACCACTATGTGGTGTAGGGTATAAAAATCGTCCAGGTAGGAGCTTCTTTATACCCTTAGCCAGGGTTTATATCATTTTATACGTGTAGCCAGGGTTTATATCATTTTATACGTGCCTCATTAAAATACCCGTTTTAGGCCCGTTTAAGGATATTTAGATTGGATCTTGAGATGGTCGTCCGTCCATCTGCCTGTCTGGCTGGCTGTCTGTTGCACACTATAACTCATCCGATTTGTCTCAAACTTGGTACATCGTATTCTTATTGTCAAAGTTAGATCGAGTTTGGAGATGAACAATATTGGTCCACTCTTTCTGGTACCTCCCTCCCAAAAGGCCGACATTTTTAAAAAATATATTTTTTTGCACAGAAAGAGAAAGGATAATCCGATTTTGCTCCAACTTAGCAAATGCCAATATTTGCGTCAGTGCTTAGTCAGGTGTGAAAATGGACAATATCGGTACACTCCATCAAGTACCTCCCCCACAAATGGCCAACATTTTTGCATAATTACAACTCTCATAAAATGTGATGTAAGAGTCCGATTATCTTCAAATTTCACACATCCTAATATTTATATTAGCCCAAGGTCTGGTGTTAAGATGGACAATATCGATCCACTCCTTCTGGTACCTCCCCAACAAAAGGGAGAACATTTCGAATAACTATCTCAGCTAACAAAAACGCGAAACGAGCATCCGATTATTTTCAAACTTGGCACATCCCAATATTTCTGTTAACTCATAGTTAGGTGTGATAGTGGAATATGTCAAGCTACTCCTTCGGGTGCCCCTCCCACAACGGGACAAAATTTTTAATAATTATATCTCTCATAAAATGCGAAATAAGCATCGTTCTCTCTTCATATTTTACACATCCCATTATTTCTATTAAAGCAAGTTCTGGAGATGGAATGTATGGGTCCACTTTTTCTGGTGTCTCCCTCACACAGCGGGTCAAAATTTTGAATAACCATGAAGCTCGTGCAATTCGAAAAAAACATCCAATACATTCTATACTTCACATATTCTAATAATTCAACTTACAAAAGATATGTTATGAAGATGGGATATATTGGGTCATTTCTTTTGGTACCTCCCCAAAACTGGTCAAAATTTTGTATAACTAATACCCTCATAAATGCGACGTTAGCATCCGATTTTATTCAAATTTTACACATCGCAGTATTTCTATTAAAACACAAAATCTGTTGTGAAGATGATAGATTATGGCCCACCCCTAACCAATGAAATAAAATTGATTTCAGCTGCATATATCTGCATTTGTGGATTCTACTCGGGCTTTAA